ACACACACACGGTGCATACACACACTCACACACTCACAGACCATTTGTGGGCTAATCCTGCTTTTGGCGCGCCTGTGTTGTGTTCGGGGACAGTGGGGCTTTGGGCCGCTCACCTGTGGGATCGGGGGCTTGTTAATATGAGCAGCAGACTGGAGAGAGGCGATAAGCATTCTCATTAGCGCTGCTATTCACGCGCCGCGCTCACACACTCTCACAACACAAACACAAACAAGATGGCGGCGGGCTGGTCAGTGTGCGACGCCAATTATGGAGGAATATTAACAGTGGAGCTAGTTGACCTCGTGTGTGTGCAGCCTGAGAGTTTATTATAGCAGCTGTCCATCTCATTTTGTGCTGACCAAAGTGAATAGCTGTTGAATAGTTATGTGTTTATACTTATGAGTTTTTTTGTGTATTTGAGTATTGGGGCTGTATGATTTAAAGTTAAAATCAGATACTAATCAATAAAAAGCTAGTTTCAAAACTAGATACTCGTCTGGACAGGTATTCGTACTAAATAAGTCTCATTCACAGGACAGAAGTGAACCTTTCCTGAAGCTTTAGAATGATGTTGAGATGTATCAGAACAAGTAGAAGAGCACATAGACTAAATCAAATCAAATGTATTTATTTGTATAGAACATTTAAAACAGCCAAAGCTTACCAAAGTGCTGAACAGTTAAATAAATACAATACAATATAATACATACAATTGACAAATCCTCTCTCTCTTCCCAACTCTAGGCAAATGCCAGGGAGAAAAGGAGCGTTTTGAGCAAGGATTTAAAGTGCTCCAGCGTTTGTGCAGTTCTAATGTGCAATGGCAAAGTGTTCCACAGTCGTGGACAGACCAAAGAGAAGGTCCTATCTCCTCTGGTCCTCAGTCTGGTCCTGGGGGCAACCAGGAGGTGCCTGTCTGCAGAGCACAGACCTCTGGACGGGACATGTGGCTGAAGGAGTTCAAATAAACAGGAAGGTGCCATTCCATTAAGACTCTTAAAAACACTCATTAAAATGTTTAAATGGATTCTAAAATGTACAGGGAGGCAATGCAAGGATTTAAGATTGGGAGTGATGTGGTCCCTGCGCTTTTTTCTAGTACACACACACGAATCACCATGAACCACTGGACCACTGAGGATTACACACATATAACACACATGGGAATAGAAAAGTTCTACCATTTAATGTTGAAAATCACAGTATATTGTCAAAAGAAAGAAGATTTTTTTTTTTTTATTATTATTAGTGCAATATCGGAATAAAGTATCTATTGAGCTTACTCCTTACTTCCGGGGTTTTTGCAAACCGTCTAGTGTATTCTGATTCCTGACCTAGTCACTGAAGAGAAATGGAATTGAGTGGAGGCACTAGGTAGTACTCCAGTGTCCCCATCAACCCAAAACATGCACCATAGGTTTCCTTTGGGTGCCCCATGTGCTGCCCACTGCTCCAGAAGGATGGGTGAAATGCAGGAATTTTTGTTTTGTTTTTCTGTACAGATTATTTGTACTGTTATTGGCATCTAAACCTGCTCTTGAGTACTTCTGCTTTGGTATTTCATGATTTAGAACTTAAAATAATGCCTAATTATATAAATGAATAAATAATCAAAACCTAATTTCTCAGAGCTCTCCACTCATACCCTTTCCTACTCCACCCTCATCTGGTCATCTTACCTCCTTGGGTGATATTACTTTGCCTGGAATATTCCACATTATGGCATTAGATTTATATATCTAGTATTAATCTTTTTATTCATGAAAATACCTTTATAAACATGTATTCATACTGTGAATGGGGTCTCCACTCCACAGATCTAACGTAGAAACTAGGCCTGGTGGCGTCATTAACTTGTCACCATCTACTATAGCTGGATATGTTTAATATCATACTGTGGAACATTCTGCACAGCTCTAGTGTGTCAGAATGAGCTGAACAAATGTTCTATTACAATAATGGTCCTAATAATACAAATTAGCACACACGCACACACACACACACACACACACACACACACTGACTTGTACAGTATCCTCATTTGTATGAGTGCTGCACAGGCAGAGGTTTAGGGCCTAACTTTGCGCGCTAATTAGCTCACCTGCACGTTCGTTAGCGTGCCGTTAGCTGCCTGTTAGCTCCCTGTTAGCTCGGGAGGGCTCAACTAACGAGATCCAGGTCACACCGCAGTCCACACACACTGCACACACACTGCACACAGCACACACACTGCACACAGCACACACACTGCACACAGCACACACACTGCACACAGCACACACACTGCACACACACTGCACACAGCACACACACTGCACACAGCACACACACTGCACACACACCGCGACACAGCCTGAATACGAAGCATTATTTACCCACACAAGTGTTAAACAATAAGAGCCGAATAATGCTGCCGTACGACGCACACTGTACATAAGTGGATTTGACAGAGCTCAGACAGGCTTCATTAAGGTGCACAGGTTTCATTAGGGTGCATAGGCTTCATAAAAGTGCATAGGCTTCATTAGAGTGTATAGGCTTCATTAAGGTGCATAGGCTTCATTAAGGTACTTAAGCTTCATTAAGGTGCATAGGTTTCATTAGGGTGCATAGGCTTCATAAAAGTGCATAGGCTTCATTAAGGTGTACAGTAGGGTGACCAGATTTTCAAAAAAAAAAAAAAAAAAAAAAAAAAATGGGACGTCCCTGGTTTGGTTGGTAATAATCAAACTGTGAAACTGTGAATGTAGTTAAGGAAAATTGTTCTGCATTCGGCACTCACGTGAGTCAATAAAGTCACATTTTCTTTGTGTTTTTCTCATTTTTAAGCATCTTTTCTGTATTTGACCTAAACAAAATCACTGGTTTTGGATAAATCTGCTGGGGCAGGGGACACAGGGCTTAAAACTGGGACTGTCCCAGGGAAATAGAGACGTCTGGTCACTCTGGTGCAGGAGTGGAAAATTATTTTTTCCATGGGGCCACATGAGAAACAGAAAATATTGTGGAGGCCAAAATGCTTAACTCAGTTCTGCATAATATTAATTATATTTCTTTATAAAAAGCAGTAAATAACATTGGTTTTAAGAGCATATGTCATGACCAAGCAATGAAAGTGTGGTTGTCTAACAAAAAAAATCCCAGTTTTGAGCCATGTGTCCCCTGTCCCAGCAGATTTATCCAAAACCCGTGATTTGTCCCAGTTTTTTACAAGAAATCTCCCTAGTGTCCTTCTTTTTGACAAGTGTGATCCCTGCCAGTAGTAAAGAGGAATGTATATTGATATTTGTTTAGATAAAATACAGAAAAGCTGCTTAAAAATTACAAAACAAAAAGAAAATGTGACTATACTGACTCACATATCCTGAATGGGCCGAGTGCAGAACAGTCTTCCTTAATTACGCACTCGTTTCACAATTTTACTATTACCAACCGCCCCTAACAAAGAGTGTCCCAGATTTTTATTTTGAAAATCTGGTCCTATTTAAAAAGAACATATCAAAAATAAAAGCAATGCAGCATGGCTGAATCCATGCTTTGGATAAAATGAGAAAATATGTTTATTTTTTATTCTAGATGAGCTGAAACAAGCCGGTCAGAGTCACTCAAAAGGCCGTGTGTGGAGCTGGAGCTGGACTGTGCCCAGGTCTGTCCTAGTGTGTATCATTAAAGTGTATAGACATCATTAAAGTGTATAGACATCATTAAAGTGTATAGACATCATTAAAGTGTATAGATATCATTAAAGTGTATAGGCTTCATTAAAGTGTATAGGCTTCATCAGGAAACATTGGCCGACTATTATTGTACTTTTCAGTGTTTAATCAATTTCAGGACAGTCCAAATTCTTCTGTAAATATGCAGATAGTGTATGATGGGCTTTCAGTGTTGGGAAGTAAGTGAATCCATGTACTGAGAATACATATTCAGAATAGTAGTTTGGAGTAAGTGATTTCTGGTACAGTTACTTTTTCATTTAGTGATGATATTCAGAATACAGTTAGGAATACATGGCGATACTTGATCACAAAATTTTGCCTTCAAACTGTGCAGAATGAGTGAGAAAAATATGAAACACTGCTTTTGTGGTACGTGCAGGTGAGATTTTAACTTTTTCTGATCAGTGATAAATAAATGCAGACCTAACAGTGAAATAAATATAAAGCTGTTTTTAATCCCACGTAGTGTTTTTGCAATATCATTTATGTACAAGTATTGTAAGTATTCAGAATACAGTGCTCTGACTGGACCATGTGTCAGACGATGTTACAAAATACATTTTAGTGCAGGTATTCAGTATTAAGTATTCTATAACTAAATACATTTTCAAAGTGTTCTTCCATCACTGCGGACATTGTCATTTCTGATGATCAGGGACATTATCAGCACATTTATCATCTGAAAAGTACATGTGAAATATAATGAAATTTAACTTGCTGAAGAGTATATAAAATCAAAAGGGTGTTGACATTTTTGACCATTCTCTAAATAAAATTAATCAACATTTTGTTCACATAGACACGATTTTAAATTTGATATATTTTCTTATGACAAAAAGCTTTTTTTTTTAAACAAATGGTGCAGTTGTATTGTTAGAAAAATCTAAAAATCTGTTTTACTTAGTTTATTTTAGCAATAAGCCATGATATATATAATTTATTTTCTTTAGGCTACAAAGAGTTACAAAGCTACAAAAAGTCTAAAGTTTCTGCTCTAAAACGCTGTTATGATCAGAGAAGACCAACACCATTCAATAGCATTTGGAATGAATCATTTATATAATATGAAATTTGGGGAAATGGCCATATAAGAAAAATAAAAACATTGCTACAAACTTGAGCTCACAAAACACTAAAACTGGACCCGCCCCTGCTTTTTGATATTTGATATTAGACATATATATTCTCTTGATATATTCTCTTGCTATTGTGTAAAGGTAAAGTCAGTACTGCAGCAGTCGCACTCAAACTGAAACATGGTGTAAACTAAGAAAACACAGACAGGTTTAGAAACATCATTTATTTGTGGGGCCTTGGTTTGAAATAAAGATTTACCGAGCAAAAGAACAGAGACGGACATTTTTTATTAAAGCGTGGACTGAATTTGACCCATCTGACCACGTCTGCAAACAAGCGGAGGGAGTTTAAGAGTTTATTATTAAATATAGTGTTTGTAATTATTTGCACCAAAATACAGATGAAATGATTCTTCAATGACTGACTGTGTGACAGTTTAATAGAAATTCAAAATAATGTAAAACAACATGACACTATCAATCAGAAATGGAACTTATTTACTTAAAAATGTTGCCATGTACCAACAAAAAAAGTTGCCAAAACACAGAAATCATACACACAATTCTAAAACAGGTGTCCAAAATCTGTTACTGGAACTGAGGTGAAGTAATACAAAAATGCCTACCTCACATTTCCTGCTATTCTATTTTTGACCACTAGTAGGAGTAGTTGCTGATTCTATTGTGCATTCAGTTCATCTAAAACGCAAACGCATCATTCACACTATTTTAAATTAACTAAAAATCACTCCACTTAAGACTCCGGTCAGTCACTCTCCCTCAGCCGTGCCTGTGTGCTCGTCTGTGCTGTGCCTGTCCTCTGCCGTGTCCTCGCCCTCCGGATGCTCTGAGTTCTCCTCCTTTTTCGTCTCCTCCTTCGTCTCCTCCTTCGTCTCCTCCTTCGTCTCCTCCTTCGTCTCCTCCTTCGTCTCCTCCTTCGTCTCCTGTGGTTTGGCAGTGTCCTCCTTGACCACCTCCTGGACGTTGTACTTCCTGAACAGTGTGTAGTCCCTGACTACGCTGACGCAGCACACCGCTTTGATCACCTCCACGATGATGGTGAGCTCGGGGTTGGTCAGGTCCACTTTGTTCTTGGGGTTGAGCTTCCCCACCAAACCTGTGCGAGACCAGGACACAGCCTTATTAAGAGGAATTTGTATATTATATGCTGTAATCAAGTCATGTAAAAAGATATATTGTATAAGCTCTGGTTGAGATCTAAAAAATGCTCATGAACTCATCATGGTGAATAATTAGGATGTTCTGAATGCATAAGAGATGTGAGGAGGAATAACTTTGGATGACTGCAAACATAAAATTATATAGTTCAATTTTTCATGTTTTTGAGAAATCAGGTGCAGCACCAGTAACAAGTTAAAGCTGCTCAGTGGCTCTTTTCACGCTTACAGCACAAACCAGGAAGAAGTTTGGAAACATGTGATGACAACTTCCGGTGTAGTTCTTGACACTGGACTCACCGTGCGACTGATCAAACCCACTGAAGTAAATGTGATCAGTGGTAAAATGAAGACTGCAGACGTATGTGCTGTTTGAATCATCTGGAATTTGTCCCTCATCTCTTCTAATCACATGTACCAGTGCACTCAGAGTTGTGTGTCAGTGGGGAAATGATGAAAACTGAGGGATGGATGGAATTGTTGATTAACTGGACATACCAAAACACTACAATGACATGGAGATGAAGAAAACTGGGACATTTTTCTCATTTTTCATGTCAGACTTACTGCTGTGAACAGAGTCCGCTATTGCATGTTTCCAAACGTCTTCTTGATTTGTGATGTAAGCGAGAACAGAGCCTGTTGCAGTGAGAGCTTTTTTATTTATTATTAATTAATCATTGCATTTAAACAGCGCCTTTCAAGATACTCAAAGTGCTTTACAGTTCATTATTCATTTACTCCACACTTGGTGGTGGTAAGCTACTACTGCAGCCACAGCTGCCCTGGGGCAGACTGACGGAAATGAGGCTGCCAGTCTGCACCATTGTTCTCTCTGACCACACACACACACACACACACACATACTCCACTTTCATACTAGGCAATGTGGGTAAAGTGTCTTGCCTAAGGACACAACAACAATCTTTGTGACTGGCGCCCCCCTGTGGCTCCTGATTTTCCCAGTGTCTCCCAACCAAGTACTAACCAGGCCCAGACCTGCTGAACTTCTGATATCTGATGGGATCAGGCTTTGAGAAGACAGTATGGACAAGACGGAGCAGGGTTACATTCTTTTAAAGTCCATCCATAATAAATGACTATAGCCAATTATTGTGCTTAAATTGCCTCCTCTGCACAGGTCAGCAACATCACTGCTGGCAGTCTTTGTTTTTTTAGCTTGATACAAACTGCTTCTGCCCCAGTGCACCAGCAGATGCAGTCCAGAACCTCTCTTGAGGTTATGTACGAGCACACCCTGAACCATGTGCACTCTGAGGAGCTCAGGGACCGGCCTCCTGCTGGTGCCCAGAGTCATGACTAAACACGTGGAGTCAGCGTTTCAGATTCATGTGGCTAAAACCTGGAACATTCCTCCTGAAGATGTGAGACAGACCTCTGCTCAGGCTCAGAACACAGTTTTCATTTTTAATTCCACACTCTTCTGTCTGTCTCTGTGTCTGTCTCTGTGTCTCTCTGTCACTCTCTCTCTCTCTCCTCTGTCCCTCTCCGTCTCCCTCTCCGTCTCCCTCTCCGTCTCCCTCTCCGTCTCCCTCTCCCTCTCCCTCTCCGTCTCCCTCTCCGTCTCCCTCTCTGTCTCCCTCTCTGTCTCCCTCTCTGTCTCCCTCTCCCTCTCTCTAATTTTATGATGATTATTTATGTTCTTGATTAGTTTGTATTGAGATTTTAATGTATTTCTTATTCTGTAAAGCTCTTTGAATTACTTTGTGTATGAACTGTGCTATACAAATAAACTTGCTTTGCCTTTTTGGTGTTTTGTACAAATGTTTTAGGGCAATGGCCCTAAAACTATACGGAAAACGAGTACTGTTTTCCATATAATCCAGTTCTTGTACTTTGAAAATCTTACTTTAAAAGGTGCACTTTGTAATATCTGCTACCTGATTGTTTGTTTGTTATTGCTCTGCGTGGTGTATTCCACAGTAAGACATGAAACCTATCTCTCTATCCTATCTATCTCCATGGAGACAAGTAGGTAACTAAACTAAAATTACAGGTCAGATTTGTACAGAGACGACAATACTCACATTAAAATATTTGTGCTTTTTAAGGCATTTCTTTAGCAATAAAAACATCTGTAATTTAATAAACAAAAGATCGATATCTTTAATGCCATTCTGTGACACAACATCTCCATGGCGACAAGCATGCGGAAGAACCTTCAAAAGAAAGTTACACAGTGCAAGTTTGCGGGCAGACATACCTGCGATGGCCTTGATGATGTCCTCCCTCTTGTTGTGGCTGCTGTTGCGGGCTTTGAAGACGATCTGGTAGGACGCAGCGTTGGGCGTTTTGAACCAGGGCTCCAGGAACGTGCTCAAGAACTTCAGCATGTCCTCCTGGAAGGCCTTGCATGTTCCCGTCACCTGCACATTTCAGTCAGTCATGTATGTTTCCTACTATCTCTGGTATCTTTGCGTTTGAGTATCAAGAAGCTGAGGACTCACCGGCAGCATTCGGAGGATCACGCGAGACTTCTTCTTCTTGGTGGTGTGGAGGTCAGACAGGATGTGGTGGACCAGTTTGTCGGATTCTGCAAGAGACGATTATCTTTCAGTAAATGGCTCAATCTTCAGTGGTCTGTTCTAGGGCTGCACAGTAAAATGTTCTTTTTTAAAACAGTTAATGCAACATCTACAAACAAAAGTCCTTCGTTTTACTTATAGTCTAAAAATGAAATGTTAAAATTTGTTCTGTTTTGATTCTTTGACATTATCGTTTAAAGAGGTTGGGATGGGCGATATTGCCACAAAAAAAAAAAAAAAAAAAACATCAAAACCATCAGAAATTTACCTTTCTATAAGGGTCTTGCTTTGTGCTCATGTATTGAAATAACAAAATAAACCACAAAAGGGCAGAACTTTAGAACCTTCATGTGTTCTAGATCAAACACAGGTAAGAGAGGATTACTGAGGTTGTTGGTGATGTGTCCCATGTGTGAGAGAGTTGGAAAGCTCCCTCATCTTGATTTAAAGTGTGTGTGCCTTGTTCCCTGAGTTCTATTGCTTCCTTGATCCGGTGTTTACATATTTTGATAGACTGACCAGAACTAGAATGGACTTTAAAATCTGAATAAACCAAACACTTACTTATTTAATTCTGGATAATCATTGTCATTAGGAATTAAGTATTTACATGGTCTTTTTTAAAGCGGAATTCATTTTTATTTAGAATTAATTTTTTTTTACTCAAAATGAAAGCTCTCATGTAAACGTGGTGATTGGTGTGACCCTGATCCAGTGAGTCTCACCCAGGTTGTGAGTCTTGATGAAGATGACGTTGTTGGCTCCGCTCTCCAGAGCCTGAAAGCGTCTCTGCTGTTTGGCCTGTGCTCCTTTCAGCTGCTCCACCTCCCTCTTCAGCGCCGCGTCCACATCCTCCTCTTCCTCCTCCTCGTCCTCCTCACTGCTGCCCTCTGTGGACTGGAGCTGTAACGAAGAGAAAGGGCATCAGGGGTTAGGAGTTTTAGAAAGACCTAGTGAGATTTGGATTTTTTTCTATGACCAATTCAAAACATTCACATGACAGTGTAGACATAGTGAAGGTCAGTTGAGGTGTCTTGCCCATGGACACAAGAGCATATGGATTTCTGTGAGTAGGATTCAAAAGTAAGTAAGAATGTATGTGAGCAATACAAATACCTAATACCTATACCTAATTCAATAAATGCAAGATACTTCAGAACATTCCCTGGCAAAGCAGTAACATCTCCATGGAGACAAGGAGGTAGTGGACCTTCTACAGAAAAAGTTACATGGTGCTCCTTTATAGAGCCCATATTACACATTTGTTAAAATGTGGTTTCCTCTTCTAAAATAGACCTGGAGTTGCATCTTGTTTCTTTCACATATGTTTAATAATAAAACCGTGCATATTTAGACTGCATATTTAAGTTCTTCCCCTAAACTGAAAACAATCTATTCCACCTTGTGATGTTATGTAGTATACAGGAAATGCTCCACTTTTTAAAAAAAAACCCTCCATACTCCTTCATTTGAATCAGCTGCATGATTTCTGCCATGGAATTTCCCATCTCCACTGAACAGAAGTAAAATCTAGCTGTTAACTTGAAAACTACCACTTCATGACATCATAAAATAGAACAGAGCATCTTGAGCTTTGGAGAGGTTAGCAGACTATTAATAAAGGATTACTTCAACATGTGTGAATGAAACAAATCAACTCCAGGACAGGTTTGTTTTTAGTGAGGTAACAAGAGTCATGGTCAAAAGCTCAAGAGTCACTTTTGCACAATATAGGTGTATAGGCGTACACTGTGTGATATTTTTGATCATTTCACTCAACCCCGGCTCAAATTGTACGACCAAATCACAGGGTTTAAAAGTTAACAGTCCATGACACTGTACAAACGACTTCAACAGAGTGAAACCATCACGAGAGGCAACTAGATTCAAACAGGTTTGCTATTCTTGTGACCTACGAATGCCGATTGGGAGCTGGTCATGAGGGATTAATTGGTTCTCTTTACCCTGACACGAAGCACAACACAATTAAGCCAAAAGTCGCCCGATAAGATCCACATTTGGACAATGTGTGCTCTCAGTCAGAGGCACAACATTTTGGAACAGTCTGCCACTCTCAATAAGAGAATCTCCAACTCTTGCCACCTTCAAGTCCTACTTAAAAGAGTGGCTAAAGAAAAAACAGACTTGTGGACACTTTTAGTATAGATTTGTTACATGTTTTTGCTTTGTTTAAATTTGTGGTGTTACCTGCCTAGGGACTACAGCAGTCTTGCTATAATCTGGCATATTTACACTGCAATGTTGTAGATGTTCATTAATATGCACTGTCCCTATTAAATAAATAAATAAATAAAAATAAGTGAAAAATCAGCAGAAAAAGGGCCAAAAATCGCATGCCGTACGCCCAGTTTTAGACTCACAGCTGCATAATGACATATTAACCTAATGTAAACAGTGATGACCTGCTACATGTTAATCATTTTGTATTTTGAATATTTATAATGACGAAATGTAGCAGAAAGTCTTCAAACTAAAAAGACTAAACAGGGAAGTCGTCAATAAATGTACTAACCTAAGACTACCCAGGTCTAAAGTAGGAACAACCTCATGTTTATCTAATAAAGCAGGACTAAAGAGGGATTCAGAAACAGATAACCCACATTATAAACCCAAACCAGGAGTAGTTTAGAACAGAAAGCCACCTTACAGACTGTAGATAGAACACCCCTACTTAAAGACACATGGTGTAACTTTTCTGATGGGGTCTGCTCCATGGAGATGCAAGTTATTGCTTTGCCCAGAATGCTCCATGCTCTAAAATTAAAACTATCTCCACGGATACATCTAATGAGACCTCCAAGCAAAATTACAGTTTAAATCTGTGGAGAGGCAGATTTTAAAGCACTTCCCAGCAAGAAAAACACCAATATTTGAATAAATGCTGGACAGGTTTGAATGTCACACCGTGGAGCACTCTAGTCCAAGTTAGGGTGACGAGACATCCCTATTTACCCGGGACAGTCCCACTTTTGAGTCCTGTGTCTCCTGTCCCAGCAGATTTATCCAAAACCAGTGATTTGTCCCAGTTTTATACAAGAAATGTCCCACCTGTCCCTGTTTTTGACCAATCTGATCCCTGCCAACAGTAAAGAGAGACAAAAACTCTCATTTGTTTAGATACAATTTTTTAAAAAGCTGCTTAAAAATGACCAGAACACAAAGAAATTGTGACAACACTGACTCGCGTGTTCATCATGAATGATCTCTGCATAACAGTTTTCCTTAATTTCACAATTTTATTATTAAAACCAGAGATGTCCTGATTTTATATTTTCCAATTCTGGTCACTCTAGTCCAAGCATGAACATCACCATGGAGTAACCAGAGAGCAGAACCCTCCACTAAAAAGTTACATGATGCATCTTTAAATGGAAAATATCGATTCCTTATGATCTTGTGTGGAGACTGAGCTGTTAAAACCTGGACAGAGAGAGTGCAGTGTGTGTGAAGAAGCAGAGTGTGTGTGGAAGCAGAGTGTGTGTGGAAGCAGAGTGTGTGTGGAAGCAGAGTGTGTGTGGAAGCAGTGTGTGTGTGGAAGCAGTGTGTGTGGAAGCAGTGTGTGTGTGTGTGTGTGTGTGTGTGTGTGTGTGTGTGCGTGTGTGTGTGTGTGTGTGTGTGTGTGTGTGTGTGTGTGTGTGTGTGTGTGTGTGTGTGTGTGTGTGTGTGTGTGTGTGTGTGTGTGTGTGTGTGTGTGTGTGTGTGTGGCTGATCTCCGGGCTCTTGGCTGACCTTCTCGGGGCCGTAGAGCCTGTCCGCGTACTCGCCGAGCAGGTTGAAGGCCTCGCTGGTGCACTTCCGCTCGTTCATGTTACAGGTGATGAGGACCCCCTGCATGCCCACCTCCAGCTCCCGGGACCCCCTCCAGCGCTTGCCCTGGCCGCCCCCGTAGCGCTTCTTGCCCCGCTTCCTGGACTCGCTCTGCCCGCCCGACATGCCGCAACGGAGCCGCCGAACGAGCTAGCACGGCGGGCTACACAGCGGCTCTCCGCGCGGTCCCTCTTCGGGCTCGGCTTCGGCGGGGTTCGGTGTGAGGTGGTCGTGGATGCGGTGGAAATGCGTAAAAGTGCGCGCTCCGGGCAGCTCCACACGTGTGCGCTCTGGAGGTTTGGAGATGAACGATCTTTACAACAACATACTGCGCGTACGGCGGCGGCTGAGGGTCAAACTACCGAAACCCGTGCGCGTTTTGGCCCCAACCACTGAGTTAATTACATTTAAGGGTTCATTTAGGAAAAAAAAAAAACGTTTCTGGACATCTGCCATCTGAATGAGTTATATAGCCGAGACCTACATGTGTCTTGTCATTTTGTCAGTCAGTCGTGTCAACATGAGAAAAGTTAACATGTCAGTTATTTCTCCTGTAGAGTGAGCACACGTCCCTGTTTACCCGGGACAGTCCCCTGCCTGTGTCCCCTGTTCCAGCAGATTTATACAAAACCAGTTATTTGTCCCGAATACAAGAGATGTCCCAGGTGTCACTATTTTTGACCAATATGATCTAAGCCAGGACTAAACTAAGACTAAACCAGGACTACATCAGGTCTAAAGCAGGACTATCACACTTTTTGTCTAATCTGATTTGTCATTTGTTTAGCCAAAATACAGAAAACGGTGTTTGCACTGCAAAAAGCTTTAGATATAAACACTTAAATTTATCAAGGACTTAAAAGGAGTGAAATTATCTTACTGCATGGACAGATAATTACTTGACAAGTTATCTTAAAATAATGTTCATTTAGACTAGAATTAAGCATCTCAGATTTAGTGAGTAGATATGAATACATCAGAAAACAAGATGAATAACCTGATAAAAGGTTTTCAAATCTTGGCCAGATCAGAGAAATTTGCAGTGTGCAAATGACAATAAAGCAAAAAAAAAAATAAAAATAAAAAGATTAATAATAAATAAATTTAAAAAAAATAAAAAATGCAGTAACAGTAGTTCCTCATATTATGACTGACACAAGAAAACACAATGTTTCATACTCACAACTGTTTTATTTCTACCAACCATCCCCTGTGTTCCCTGTCCCTGCAGATTTATCCAAAACCAGTGATTTGGCCCAGGTGTCCCTATTTTTGTCCAGTTTGATCTAAACCAGGACTAAACCAGGACTACATCAGGACTACTGCAATTTTTGTCTAATCTGATCCCCACTAACAGTAAAGAGGAACATAAACTGTCATTTGTTTAGCCAAAATACAGAAAACTGTGTTTGCAATGCAAAAAGGTTAAGATATAAACATGAAATCTATCAGTAAAAGACTTAAAAGTTGAGAAACTGCATGGACAGATAATTTTACTGGACAAATTATCTTAAAATAAATTACCTCTAGACTAAAATGAAGCATCTCAGAACTAGTGAGACATTTGCAGTGTACAAATGACCATAAAGCAGAAAAAATGCAGCGACATTTGCACAATGTTTCACGCTCTTTTCACAATTTTATTTATACCAACCATCCCAGCCCGGGTGTGTCCCAGTTTATTTTGAAAATCTGGTCACCCTATGTTATGGCTCAATTTGCATTTTTGGTTCTTTTGTTTTTTCTGTATATTGCACTTAAATCCAAATTAAAATGACAAGAAATAAAATCCAAATGATCTAATATGAAGGAGCAGATCATTTATTTAGGCTACTGATCCTGAAAGTGGCTTTGTTCACATACACACCAACAAGTGATTATAATCTGATTTCTGGACCTTTAAGATTACATAAATGACATGTAAACTGCAAAATTAAGTGTTTCGGCTTGTAAGAAACATCTCATAATGATCAAAACCACAGAAACAAAAGACATGGACAAAAAAGTTTAATACAATACATTCTTAAATAATATCTTATACACAAACACAGCATTACTAATAATACACATTTCATACAATTGTTTTCTTTATATTAGAGTTTGAAGTCAAGATGTTCATTGTGACGTCACATAATTAGGGATCTATTTCAACTGTATACTGTACATACAATAAATAAACTACATAAGACAAAATGAACTTCATTGGCTTAATAAATTGTAGTGTAGTCCTGCACCAAAGTACACTGTAAATCTGGCCAAAATTTTAAAACTTATATCAGGTTCTTTATCTTTTGCATAAATAATAATATTTGCAAAATGTGCACACACTAAGTTTAATACAGCATCTGTTGAACTTAGGACAAAAAACTAAGGTTAATAATATCACTTTTACATAATTTTCAAGTTTAGTCAAATTAGGTTGGTGCAAAAATGAGTACACTCCACTGAAAGTCTCAGAGCAAAGCTCCATTTTAGGCTCCAAATGTGTAATTGAACAAGCATCAGCCACAGGTCAGTCTAATGACTCATTCCACACGTGTCCATCAGACAGTCGGCTACATACAGATGTTACTTAAAGCAAAGCCCTTCCCATTTCCTGCTGTCAGCAATGGCACAAGGAAAAGAAATGACACAAGTCCTGAGAAAGAAAATGATTTCTTTACACCAGAAAGGTGAAGGCTACAAGAAGATCAGCAAAGTCTTACTTATTATTAGTAAGAACAGTGTTGCAAAAGTGGTTCAAAAATTTTAGAAAGATGGAGGTAGGCATTAGTTTTATCATTAGGTCTCTCGCTTTGGGTGGGCTTTATATGGGCTACATTTTAAGATCCATTGTATATATAGATGTGTATGTAGCACGACAGCATTACTTTATAGTTGGGTGAAAATATACTATGTCTATATGTATCCAGATATTCTTCTTATTTTTCTATTATTATTCTATGATTTTTGTACTCTGATTAATATTTCATTATTATTAGTAGTAGTAGTATCATTATTATTACACTGTATGTTGATTGTCTTTGTTCTGTGAATTATGGTGTTTTGCTACAGTTTCTTTATGACCTGTCACCCTTGGGTGCTTGCCACACCCTATTTAAGATGGCCACCTGAGCACTCATTCTGTTTGCCTGACGAAGGCCTAGTGCCGAAACGTTGCACGGTTTGTCCTAATAAATCTCACAATTTGCAAGTAAGACGGTGTGCGGGATTTTTCTCCATGTTCTTAGAAAGATGGAAGTGCAACCATCTCACAGAGACGTCCAGGTCGGCCATGGAAGTGAACACATCAACAGGAGCGTCTTCTGATGAGAATGGTTGAAGAAAATCAGCATGCAAGTTCCCTTCAATCATCTAAGGAAGTAGAAAGCCAAACTGGGGCAACGGTTGCCAGTGACATAATGAGCTGTACAGTGAGGAGGAAAGGCATGCATGGGTGTCTTCCTCAAAAGAAACCTCTCCTAAAGCTCAGTCATAAAAAAGCCTGTGTAGAGTTTTCCAAAACCCATGCTGACAAAGATGATGGCTGCTGAGACTCTGTACTCTGGAGTGATGAGACCAAGATCAATCTTTTTGGGCTGATGGCTTCAACACTGTATGGCGTCGCAAAGGTGAGGAATACAAAGAAAAATGCAGGTGCCTCCAGTGAAACATGAAGGGTACTGTCCTTATCTGGGGCTGTATGAGTGTATTGCTCTAAACTGAAAGCGGAAATGTTTCCATCACTTCATGCCATTGGTCGTCGTGCACTTTTCCAACATGATATTGATCCTAAAAAAACATCTAAGGCCACTGCTGCTTTCTGAAGAGGAACAGGGTGAGAGTGATTCCGTGGCCAAGTCTGTCACCTGATCTGAACCCAACTGAACATCATTGGAAATTCTGAAGAGACAAGTTGAGCATCACTCTCCATCCAACATCCAGTCTCTGAAAGACGTCATTGCTGAAAATGGAAAAAGAATGATGTTGCCAAATATTGCCAACTTGTTCATTCCACAGCTAGAAGATTTGAAGCAGTCATTAAAAATAAACCAGGTCATACAAAGTACAGTAGATGTAGTAGTTTTTGTTGTGGGGTCTACTCATGCTGAGCTTTGTATAGTTTGTTATTATATTTATTGTGATTTAAGTTCAAGTCCAAAAGCTCTTCCTCAGACTCGTGTGCCGCTGCCCGCTCACACTTGTGTTCATGTGACACATAAAGACAGATGTCCCCACACCGCTGCGGTTAAGCACCGCCGACTCCCACTTAAAGAAGCCACACCCCCTCTGCGCTCTGTCCCCGCCCCCGGAACGTCTCCCGAGGCAGCAGAAGAAGGTCCTCCCCTGGTTGGGCCCTCCGTTGGACACCGTCTGCCTCTTGGCCCTGCGCCCACACGCACACAGCGGAGAGGTGATTCGACCCTCTCCTTTTCTCACCCCCCCAACCCCGGGCGTGTTCAGGGAGCTGTTCACAGACAGGTTTGACAGGACGCTTTTGGAGAAAGAAGGACGTGATGTTGAGGAGCAGATTTCTTCACTGTAGATGGAGAAAGATTGTGAAGTTTTAGGTTTGTGAACTACTGGAGTATTTGGAACCAAAACCTGTGGTCTGGACAAATCTCTAAAACTGGTTTCAGATTTGTCTAGAAGTCTATAGGGGGTCTGACATTTCTTCTGTAGAAATTTGGGTTTGCTAACTGGTTTTGGCACAGCAAAACATGTCTCGACTGCTGGCTTCAAACCACTGTCCTGATTTGCATTGTCTATATTTTCACTTGTGGCTGAATTAATAATAATCGATTTTGCTACATAGACTGATTCTTCAGAGGAACAGCTTGCCCTTTCAAATTCTGAAATGTCCGAGTCCAAAATCACGTCGTCATAGGAACCGCATCTCTCCTCGCTCTCCACCACCAGCTCCTCAAAACCGCTTTCTGAGGTGGAAGGTTGAGAATGGTGCAGAACTTGGACGCAGCCTGTCGTACTGGAAGTTAAGCTGAGTGAAGGCATATTGACAGTGACTGAAGGCAGGTTAGGTGAAGTTCTGGTTGACTGACACTGTTCTCTTAATATGGTTGTTTCATTGAGGAGGGTCTTTGGTGAGACTAGACTTTGGACTGAGCTCGTAGCTGAGTTTACAGTGGAGTTTGGATGGTGTAAAGCGGGTTTGAGAAAGCTGGAGGAGGAGGAGGGTTTGTTGGTGGCTGTTCCTTGGGCCTTTGCTTCATTCTGTTTATCTGGTTTCTTGGTTTCAGGTGGTGCTTTGACATTAGCCAGTGGAATCTAAAGAGGGCAGAAGATTAAACTCAATCAATGTTGCTAGGAGACAATTTAATTATTAATTGATGATCATGCCCACAGTACATCATGTGATCATCTATCTGTAATCTATTAAAGGCAATGATTTTTTTCATGCATTTGAGCAAAATGTGTCTTTCTCTGGTACAGACAGATCATAAGCAGCTCTTGGGGTCAAAGTACATCTGCTGTGCCCTGTCTGCATCTAATTGTAAAATGTTTCATTGTCCACTAGTCAGGAAGAGTGTTGTTAGCTTTACTGTGACTGTAACTCTGTTCTGGTCTCTGAGAGTTGTGAAAAGTTCTTATAAACTCATCACGGTGAATAATGAGGATGCACAGAATGCATAAGCTAAGTGAGGAAGAACTTTGGACCAAATCAGCCACACCCTTTAAATCCAGTCTGATTCAACATTTGACTGTAGTTGCTTGGTATAAACATGGTCTAACATGTCCTCCAATGACTGATCATTTAAAAAGCTGACAAATGCCAACCAGCTGTGGTACTAATCACACTAACATGATTTTAATTGATTTATAAAGGTGCACTATGTAATGAACTCTGTTTCCAGTGGAGAGGCCACCACCTGCTTATGTCAAGATGTGATTGCCTTTATTGCTTGGAATGTTCCACCATGTCACAAAACATAAATCTACATTGCATTTGTTAAATCTATTACTGATTATGGTTTTTATCCCAAAATAAAACCAGCTTGTAGAGTTAGGCGGGTTCTCTCTTCACAGGACTGCTCTGTGACTGGGCCTGGTGGCATCACTGACTTACTGTCAGGAGTTAGTAAAGCTGCTTCAAAGAGGTTCATTTCAGACTTCCAATTTTATATCCAAATAAAGATAAAGGTTCTTTGTGTGTGTGTAAACAACACACTGGTGTGTAAAAAGAATAACCTTTATTTGGATAGTTAATACAGTTAGATGTGTAATGCTGTGGAACATTTTTAGCAAAACAATAACATCTCCGTGGAGATAAGCATGTAGCAGACCCTCTACCAGAAAAGTTACCTTAAAGATTCACTATGTACCTCGATGTAACAAATGTAAAAATTACTTTTTAGCAGTTTATACATTTGCAAGAATAGATTTAAAAGCACAATAGTATGTTTCATAGATGTGAGACAGCCCATAATATTCCTGTTCATATGAGCAGTCTTTCATAATAATTTGATTTGCTAAAGGCAGGTATTTAGTATTGGTTGTAAGATAATGCAAACCTTTAGAGACTTTCCAGCCTGAACCCTATTCTGCCTCAGCACAATGAAAAAAGTGGATGTGTACATGGCACAGTAAGAATCTACTCTAGCATGAAAAGATGAATATTTATTAAAAATACAGTAAAGAGACAGTATTTTCAGTACTCGTGTATATGCAGGGCTCCCTCCGGTGGTGAAGTCTTGCCTCTGCAGCATTAGTTCTTTAGTCCCAGAGCACTCACCCGGTCCAGACTGCGGGTGACTCTGAGCACACAGCCCTCTCTCATCATGCGCGCCGCTAACTGTGCCGTGTTCCGCGCATCGTCCAGCCCTAAGGACGAGGGACACTTTAACTCACCATCTGTGTCATGGATCAAATCAGATATATTTAGGGAGATAAGGAATTCCAAACCTGAGTGTTCCCGGCCTTCAAACTGTATTCCCAAATCCTGCAGAGCTCCGTTCAGACCTTTGGGTTTTCTGTTGTAAAAGAGCTGAGGGACACACACATAAGAAACTGTCATATTTTCTGAGGGCACAGGGTTTATGAAAGAACCTATGAGCCGCAAATGTTGAACACTATTAGAATCTGTTTTTTGAGACCGGGCTGAGGCAGCAGCAACACAAACAACACAAAACAGTCAAATCACAAAGTATCACATTATAAAACCTTTTGCATCTCTCAAGAAAAACACACAGATGTCTCGGTCACTGCACTTTTCACAGTTTTCTTATCAAGTGACACCGCAGTTTCCAATTTAAGATCTTTGTGTAAATGATTCCAAAACCATGGTGCTGTAGGAAAAAGCTTATTTTTCCAACTTGGAGGCACCGAGGGACAGTGAAGAGGAACTGTGAGGAGGAGTGAAGCTGCTCACTACCTGAGCTGAGATGAAGGGGATTAACAAGGTACGTGGGAAGTTTCCCCTGTATGGTTTTGTAAATAAATATTGCATAATGTACAATAATTATATAAGAAATAATACAGATATGAACCATAAACCTAGACATTTAAAGTTTTCCACTTAAATAGAATTAATGTTAAGCTCAATATTAAACTATACATGGGTTTCAGAATGATGAAAAATTAGGACAGTTACCATAGCGATTAACTATTTAAAGCCAAATCTCATATCTTTTAAATAGGGGAAAAGTGTTAAAAATGTTGAATCCAACAGCAGACTGAACCTCATGAATCTGCTGTCCAGATGTGAGCTCACCCTGTAGGTGCTCCTCAGGTCGATCCAGCTGTTGAGCGCTGAGGGTCTGGTGATCTGTTTGCGTTTACATTCATAGAGCAGACACACGCCCAGGTCCCAGTCTGGAACACACAGCACTATTATGAATATCAGTGATCCTGCCAAAAGATATAGTTATAACAAAGAACAGATTTATAACATCTAAATGTCAAAAGAGAATGTAAAAAATCTGTCTTTTTTATATATAAAGAAAACACATTATCCATAAATGTTCTACCTAACCTTCAGTCACCATCTTTTTAAATGCATTTTAAAGGTGCATTGTGTAACTTTTCTGCCGGAGGATTTGTCAAATGCTTTTCTCTGTGGAGATGTTATTGCTTTGAATACTTCACAGTATAATACCAGACCAAGTTACAGGTCAGATCTGTGGAGAGGTGACCCCATTCAGTCGGTTATGTCTGTTTTTCTAGGTATTTCTAAACTAAGAAACCGCCTGGAATTGAATGAATGTAAGGTAGAGCTGTTTAATGTCATACTGTGGAACACTCAAAGCAGTGCAATGACATCTCCATAGAAACAGACAGGTGACATTGTGCAGCTTGAACAAATCTCAATGTTCAACAATTTTGTGACTACTAAAATAACTGTTAACTATAGAGCTAATACATAAAGATATCCATCTACAACGGAGAGAAGTGAAGCCTTTTGAACTAAAAACACATTAGCAACATGTCTACAGTCAGAGCTACAAGTGAGATGTTTTGTGATTAACCCTTACATACTGTTCATTTTTTAAGCTTTCACAGTATGGTCCAGGTCAAATTTGGCCCGGACCAAGAATTCCCTTACAGTAAGTGTCTATACCAAATAAATAGACTGTCCCACATGAATAAATATATGTAATATATAAATATAATGTTTCGGAGAGCAAGAAGAGCATATTTTTGTAAGTTTTACAACACTCGTTTTTTGAGAAAAACATCTGCTATCAGTATCATGTCCTGTTTTACAAAACACATAAAAACATAAAAAACAATATGATGATGATATTTATTGCATCTGAAACTGACATGAATATTATGTAACTGTTGGAATTTATAATATAATCATATTTATCCACTGCAGCCATTATGCTTATTTCAAACTAGTCAATGCATTCAAAGCAGTGGTATATAAAAGTATAACATTTTAAAATATTTTCATTTTTGTGTATTTTAGCAAAATTTTGGAAAAGTCATCAAATTTTAGGATCAAAAGAATGATGTTTAGTGTATTTTTACTACTGTTGAATGTCACAATGGGTCAAAATGAACCTGAATAGTATGTAAGGGTTAAGGCAACGTGCTGAAATAATCAAAAACATTCAGGTGCAGCTTCACTAAACATGTTGTGAACTGCCATTATATCATAGTTAAAGGCTAAAGTTAAAGCTGCACTGTGTAACTTTTTGGCTGGGGGTCCATCACCTGCTTGTTACTATGGATACATCATTGCTCTGTCTGGAATGTTCCACAGTGTGGCATTAAACAATTTTGATTGAAGGTGTCCAAATAGAAAATGTAAATGAAAATAAATTCTTGGGTTTATAATAGACACTAAATGATCATGGAAAGTCACATGAGACACATAAAAACACATTTCCAGAAGTCTTGCTGTAGTAAACAAAGTGAAATATGACCTTGATCAAAATGCCCTTCCTACATTCTACTGTTCATTGGTTCTCCCTTATTTCACACAGTGTGAGTGTAAGTGTGAGGGACACTTACTAATGTACACTTCATCCATTCATTATATTACAGAAACGAGCTTTGCCAATCATCCATAAAGTTGGATTTTTAGAACACACTCATAATCTTTTTATTCAATTCAAGCTCCTAAAGATTCCTGATCTTGTCAAATATTATACACTGGTAATTTTATTCAGAGCATGCAACAATTTACTACCAAGTCACAAAAGCTTGTTCAAAATGAGAGTGAGAACTTATCATTTTAGAGGATATGGAAATTTTAAATTGGCCAATGTTTGAACCACTCGTAAAAGTTTGTGTGTGTCTGTATGTGGTGTAAAACTCTGGAACAGTCTGGATACACATCCAAAGCAACCATATCCATAAATTCAAGTTGTTCTATAAACATATGGTCTGGTCACAATATATACAGAGTGTGTCTTAATATCAGAATAATACTTCTGTCTGTAGAGCTGGTTTATGTTTGTTGTTTCTTACCATTGCCTGTATCCTTAACTTTACCATTGTTGGTCTGCTTATGTTATAATCTATAACAGTGACTCTTTGTCTGCACTTGTAAATAGTTCATATCGTTTATTTCAAAATGTCTGAAAAACGCAAAAGAAAGCTCATTGTGTTAGATTATGAAGAGTAGGGGTTGGATTAAATAAATTTTCTTCCCACTCCTTTTTGGGCAAAAAAAAAAAAAAATAATAATAATAATTTAGTTATTTTCATTTCTATTATGATTTCACATGTTATATTTTCCATTGTATATGAATATAAATCTTTACTTGCCCAAAATAAATGCATAAAAAAACCAAACAGCTCTACCTTACATTTATTCAATTAGCTCAAAAATACTTATAAAAACAGACGTTCTAACTGTGAACGGGGTTGCCTCTCCACAGATCTGACCTGCAACTTGGTCTGGTTTGGTCTCGTTTGGTCTCCATAAAGATAGAAAGGTGACGGACCCTCCACCAGAAAAGTTACACACTGCACCCTTCAGTTAAATAGTGAGTTAGTCCACACTAGGCAAGCACATAGTTGAGAGGTACTGCATACTCATGAGTATTCCATAGTACATTACCACGAGATCTCATGAACGAAAAGACCAGCCCTTACCCGACCATGTGAGGAAAGTGCAGAGTTTGGGAGCCTCTGTGGGCTGCGCGGTGCTGTGCTGTCTGTGAGAACACCAGGCCCTTCTGATGCTGCAGAGTCTGGAGCCAGCGACTGAAGCGGGACAGGCAGATCTGAAGAGGGACCCCAGCCTCCACCTGAGTCTGGGGGACAGGACCAGACACAACATGGGGGACACAAGAACTGAGGGCAAAGGTTTACCACCACATACTACCAGTGTTGTCACGATACTTTTCAAGATCAATTTCAATGCTAAGGAATATACTCTCATATATATATCTACTCAATACAGATACTGATGCTATGAAGGTAATAAAAAAAACCCTCTTTCTTTAGACAACAGAATGTGACTTTAAATTTTAATACTTTCTTTTTGATTTCCATGTGTCTTATATGTGTGTAATCCCTCGGTGGTGCAGGTAGGTTCGTAGTGGTCTATGGGTGTATACTAGTCTATGTGCTCTTAAACTTGTTCTGATACAGCTTAAGGTCATTCTAAACCTATTCATTTCTGTCCTGGCAATGGGACATTTCAGTATCGATACCTGTTCAAATGTGTATCCAATTTTGATACTAGTTTTATTATCGATTAATATGTGATTTTCAACACTTTTGTCAGCCCAAGAGCAGAGAGAACATGACTGACAGAAGGGCTGAGATTAAGAAAGGTTAGTGAAATCCTAAATTCTCTTGATACCCCAGTTCATAATGAGTCTGCAGATTTCACTTTGTACATCTGTGGATGGAGTTTACCATGCAGTCCTACCTGTGTGATGCCTGTGAGCTCTGTGCAGAAGGCAGACAGAATGGGGTGTTCCTGAGGCTGGACATAAGAGTGGAACTCAGCCTCCACCTCCCCTGTGGAGGTGTTCAGCAGCACCGCGGGGAACTCAACTGGACACAGCACAAGCGTTAAGGACATGTATTCATCTATTCACTAAATATACTTGAACTATGCGACTGAACTGGCCAAATAATGGGACTGAATGCCTTAGTCAGAGGTGTCGAAACATTTTTCACCAAGAGAGAAATATTTGTATCAGAGGGCCACAGACCAGGGGCCACTATAACTGGACAGAGCTGCCTTACCTTTAAAAAGACATAACATTCATTTTAGGTTTGTATCACAATCTGATGTGATGAGGTTATAGTTGTAGAATTATTTAAATTTGCAGTATAAATTACTGTCATATATACGGGCCATTACAGTAGGAGGTGTGAGGAGAAAACAAAAATTGGTTTGAGTGCAGCATTTGACCCCCTGGGGCCATACAGTCCTTGACAAAAGTCTTGTCACTTATCCATTTTGTAGAAACAAAAGCTTATAACCTGACTTTAAATTAAACTATTGGTTTTAGAAATGTCTCATATGAAAGCTAAAACCCTCCCAAATTATGCTCAATATACTAAAATTTATTTGCTTCACTGAAGAAAGATTGATCATTTAATGAACACAGAAAGGTCAGATTTTGGCAAGACAAAAGTCTTGTTGCCTACAGAAAATTGAGCAAATAATTTACTTCAAATACAAAAATATGTTGCATAACATCAGTGAATGAAGTAGTGGTGCTGTGAGATCCATATTTAATATCTTGTATGATTCCATGAGCTTGAAGGACACATCCATGCGGTTCCACAATGATTCATACAATTTGTTGTTGATGAAGTCATCAGGAAATAGCAAAGAAAGCGTCTTACAATGCCTCCCAGAGTTCATCAAGATTCTTTGGTTTTGCCTTCCATGTTTCCTCTTTCATTCTACCCCAGACATGCTCAATGATGTTCATGTCTGGTGACTGGGCTGGCCAGTCCTGGAGCCACCTTGATCTTCTTCACCTTGACAAACTTTGATGTAGAGATAGAAGTATGTGATGGAGCACCATCCTGCTGCAAAATTTGACCCCTTTTATGGTTGGGAATGTAAGAGGAGCTAATACTTCTTGATATTTTAGGTTATTGATATTTGCCTTCCACCCTGCAAATGTCTCGCACACCTCCATAGTGGATGGAACCCCAGACCAGGATTTTTCCGCCACCAAACTTAACTGTTTTCTGGGTGAATCTTGGATCCATGTGGCTCCAGTAGGTCTCCTGCAATATTTGCAGCGGCTGTGATGTAATTCAACTGAGGATTCATCTGAGAAATCCACCTTCTGCCACTTTTCCAGTGTCCATCCTTTTAGCAGGCTGTGGGCCTTGGCAAATGCCACACGCTTTTTTAATTGCCTTTTGTTTAGTGCTGGTTTCTGTGCACTGATTCGACCATGGAGGCCATTTCGAGACAGAATTCTACAAACTGTTGTGGTTGACACAGGGACTTGAGGTGACCAGGCCTGGTGGAGTCTGCTGCAGTGGAAAAGGGGCCTTGGATTTTCCAATCAACAAACGGTCCTCCCGAGCAGTTGTCTTGCGGGGTCTGCTGGACCTGGGCTTGTCAAAAACATCTCCAGTCATTTCAGATCTTTTTCTTATTCTTTGTACTTGACGCTGAGACACATTGAAGGTGTCACCACCTCAGCAGTGGATCTGGTCTTCAACCTCTTGATAATTAACGCTTTGGCGGATCTTAGGCATGTTGTCAGAGGTCAAGTTGCAGTTGATGTGAAGGTCTGGTGTGCTGGGGTTCTTTTTATACACACCCACTAATTGATTGATCAGTAACTGATCACAGGTGAGGCTGTAATCTAGGATTGGGAGCATCATATGACAAGGCCACAAGACTTTTGTCTTGCCAAAATCTGACCTTTCTGTGTTCATTAAATTATCAATCTTTCTTCAGTGAAGCAAATTTATTTTATTATATTGAGCATAATTTGGGAGGGTTTTAGCTTCATATGAGACATTTCTAAAACCAATCGATTAATTTAAAGTCAGGTTATAAGCTTTTGTTTCTACAAAATGGATAAGCGACAAGACTTTTGTCAGGGACTGTAGCTTGGAAACCTATGCCTTGGTTAGTGAAGTAAAAATAAACATGCAGCAGGAGCGTCAAAAGTATAGCCAGAGCCAGATCATTTTGGTTGGTCTTCTAGGTGATTTGGCCCAAACCTTCATAATTAACCCTTTAAACTGCAGCTTTTCAAACGTTTTTATGTATTATGTAGGCCCACTGTAAAAACATGTAAAACATGAAAAATGCACCTGTGTGAATAGCTGACTGTCAGTTTTCCTTGGCTTTGTGTGTGAACAGTTTGAACCCCCCTGGCCTGATTCACTTGGCTGTGGTAGAAAACCCTGTGTCACCTACTGATCTCTTGGCCATAGTTGTTCTTCTCCTTCCAACACGTGGACTCAAAATCTATGACAATGATGTAGGCGAAAACCTGATCTGCAATACCACAATAAAGAGCACAGAATGTTTATGAACTCCAGCAGGATTTATTCAGTCAAATAAACTGGTTCACTCACTTGACAGCAGTTTCTTGGAGCCAGAGGAGCTGTTGCTGCGTTGCCTCAGTAAACCCAGTTCTCTAAGATGTACACAAAACAAGATGAGACACAGAGATTAGTAAACATAAGTAAATCTATGGCAGGTTTAACATTACAACAAAGTGATTACATGTTGCTGACTGTTTTATGTGCAGCACCATTTGTATCCTATGTGTAAGCTAGCAAAATGGAGCAAAACCATTCTGAACTTACTTCGCTAATCTCTTTGTAGCCATATTTGATCGACCGTATTAGCCAATGATCCGAAATAAGGACACGATTAGAAGTGTTCATTCATCATTCATGGGCAAACTCACAGAAGAATAGATCCATGAGCAAACCGCGCTGCCTTTTGAAATACTGTTCTACGATCCACTCCTTCTGTCTGAGAGTCCGAACCAAACAAACACCGAGAGCTTTGGTCGATCAGCGAAAAGCGAAAAATAGTCTGCAGGTAACGTAAACAAAGCGAACACTTTTTCCGGTTTGTCAAAATAAAAGCGGTATGATAAAAATTTTGTTACATCAAATAGAAAGTAAATGATGTCTGTTGTGTGACAGAAATTTATGTTAACGAAAATAAACATTATAGTTAATTGATAAATAGACAATAATACATTTTCATAAATAATAAATAAATGTTAACCGGAAGTAGGTTGATAGTTGACGGGTTTTACATGTTCTCGGCTTCAGCTGTTTAGCAGAGCCATGTGTTCAGCTCGTGGATCTGCGAGCCGGTTACTTAGGAAAGAAGCAAAACTACTCCCTGGATTTGTGGTATTTCATACATTTAAACTATTTAGAAAGTGTAGACACGTTACAGACGGGCTAGGTCAAACGCAATGTTAGGTAGTTGTAGTCACATTTGCTTATTGAAAACGCTTGTCAGGAAGAAGTGATTATGAATGGGTTTTCTGTCTACTACAACTACAACTATAAATGTCATATTCTACTATCGTGGTTCTCAGACTGTGGAACAAGTACTACTCCTAGTTTTTGGGCATGTTTTGGTGATACTTAAGAGCTCTAATAGCTAGTTTAGCCCTCGTTTAGATCTTAATTTCTGTCCTGATGAAGACAAGTTTTAGTCTTGATTTTAAACTGGTTTAGACCTATTAGTAGACTTAATATAGTTCTTCTGCTTCAGACCTGGTTTCGTCCTGGTTTAGTCTTGGTTTAGTCCTGGTTTAGTCTTGGTTTAGTCCTGGTTTAGTCTTGGCTTAGTTCTGGTTTAGTCTTGGTTTAGTGCTGGTTTAGTCTGGGTTTAGTCTTGGTTTAGTTCTGGTTTAGTCTTGGTTTAGTCCTGGTTTAGTCTTGGTTTAGTCCCGGTTCAATACTATTGTAGTTCGAGTTTAGACTTAGTTTATAGACTATATTACACAAAATTGACTCATATGAGCATTTAGTTATGTTGGAATTTTGTTACTTCATCAAACACCAACCTGGAGTTGTGTTTTGTTTCATTTTTTATTAGTCTGTCTACATCTCCCAAGTCCAAAACGCTATATTCAACCTTGTGATGTCTATGAACTAATAACTACATTTTTTTTAACCTTTAGTTCAGTAGAGATTGGCAATTTTCGGTCTTAAATTATCCAAATGATTCTAGTGAAGGTGGTAGATTTTAAACATGGTAGAGCACATCTTGTATTACCACATGACATCACAAGGTGGAGTGGAGGCTGAGTGAAGAACTCATGCTAAATCTGCAGGGTATGTGTGTTAAACATGTGTAAATGAAACAAAACACTACTCCAGGTCTGTCTGTGATGAGGAAAATCAATGCCTTAACTAGTGCAGAAGCAGTTTTACTGTAAGAATACAACAGGATGTACCATGTAATAGTTTTGGTGGAGGGCATTTATTCAAATACATGTGTTATTATTGTTTAAAACAAACAAACAAAAAACATGCATTATTACTGTTATACTGTTAGAGCAAATTTGCCTCACCACAGATCTGACCTGTAAGCTGCCTGTACTTCAAAAAGCTTGGCCAAAATTTAAGATATAAACACTTAAATCTATTAGAAAATGACTTAAAAATAGTGAAATTATCTGTCCATGTAGCAAGATCATTTTACTGGACAAGTTCTCTTAACGACCTTTAGACTAGACTGAAACATCTCAGAACTAGTAAGTAGATAATAAATCTGAAAACAAGATGAATAACCTAAAATAATTTTTAAAATCTTGGCCAGATCAGAGAAATTTGTGTGGTCGCATCACCAGCTTGTCTCCATGGAGATCGACATGTTCCACAGTATGGCATTACACTTTGCATGCAAGATGATTGATTAATTTATTGATTTTTTTTTTTTTCAGGTGGTAATACAATAATTCACAATAACTACTTCTTCAGACATGGATGCTCTTCCAGCCCCACGCTGCAGTAAAAGAAAAGCAGAGGACAAAGCTGAAGACAATGGGCCCAAAAGACCCATGCCCTCCCCGGACAGTGGAGAGGTCAGACAGTATGGCCTCACACCGCGTCCTCCTCGGATCAGTGTGAACGAGGAGCACCTTCAGAGGCCCATCAGCGAGGAGCAGCTGATGGAGCTACTGCACTACTCTGCTCTGGGCAGGGCCACAGGGCACAGCAGGAGGCTCAGGTAACACGACGCATGCCTCTTTTAGGGCTGTTTCGATACAAATATCTTATTGCAATTATTCTGACAAAATGTTTCAATTAGATTTGCAAATTTATTTTTGTGTTAAAACCTAGAAGCATTAATATTAAAAAACAAGAGGAGCAGAAGATATAGAGGAGAGGAGCAGAGGAGTAGAGGAGAGAGGGTCAGAGGAGCAGAGGAGAGCTTCAGAGGAGCAGGGGAGAAGGTCAGACGAGTAGAGAAGTAGAGGAGCAGATATTGTGATATATTTTTGTCTGCTTCCCTCAGCTGGTGCAGCCTGCGCAGACAGAAGAGGCTGAAGGCGGTGTGTGTGGCTGTGGTGGACCATGTGAATCAGAGGGACTTCTATGAACACTACCTGTCTCTGCCCCACCTGCGCACCAAATACAGCACGGTGAGTACTGACTGCTCTTCACCCCGAAGGACCTAAACACACAGGCTGGTTATTCTGCATAAACACTGCTAATCCTATAGTTTAGATCTGTACAAACATACTCTGAAAAGTGATTCTTAGTTCAGTTCAAATTTCAGTCTTTTTTCAGTTCTTCTGGACGCGTTTAAAATGTGAACTTTGAACACAATCCTATTATTAAAACATAAACGGGATTACTAATCGTAATTGCAATGTTTGCCATAGTGCAGCCCTCGTGATTAGTTCAGGATAGGTTCAGTGATGAGGAAGTGATGCGGTCTTCCTGGTGGAGCTGATCACCGCAGTGGTTGTCAAACAGAAATAGCCACATGAGGAGCACGGCAGCACGACCGCAAGCACCTTCTAATCACAGCAAGTGGGCTTCAGGTTTTCCTACTGGCTCCATAAAGTGTACCTTACCTTATATTGTACAAAACAAGACAACATCTTCTACTAGATGCGGTACAAGTATTTTTGAGTATTGTCTGATGGTGCTGTCCAGTGCGACTGTGCAAAAATATTGAAATATTGATATATCGTATCATTTAATGTGATGATATAGAATCAATATCATGGGCTGCTGTATAGATATATATCGCCAAGAGAGTTTTTTGGTATATTTTACCAAATACTTTGTTACAACTACAGTTTTGTGGTTTGTTTAAAGGAAGGAAACTCATTCACACTGCAAAAAGTAATATCTAGGTTAGTTAAAATTAAGAACATTTGACTATTTGAGTAAATTTTACTTTACAATGGAATAAGTGTGTTTTTCTTCATTCAAGCAACATTTGATTTTGTTTCAAACGGCAAAGAGTTCTTGTTTTTCTTATTAAGTTATATTTTCATTTTTTAAATACACAAAGTCTTTCCGCTGATAGATAATTTTACTTGTCAAGTGAAACTTACTCAAATCATGATGAAATTTTCTTAATTCAAGTGATCTTAACTTGGGTAATTTTTTTTCATTTTCACTGTTTTGAGGACTAAAATGTTTGTGTTTCATATGAACTTTGCACAATAAGTATATCCAAATATATCTTATCGAATCAAAAGCTCACTGAATCGAGATATGTATAGTATTGTGGCCTGTGTATCGAGGTGTGTATCGTATCGGCAAATTCTTAATGATACCCAGCCCTACTGTCCAGAGCTCTAAAGTATCTGAGGATATTACATGATTTAAAAATTGGTTTTAAATCATTCAACAGCCCAGTCCCAACAGCATCGGGGGAGACTAAGCACACCTGACAGGGCTTATAGGATGTTGTCGTGGGTACAGTCCTGTTGAGCACTGTGAGGGCCAGTATGCTCACGTCAGCCAAAGTGGGGCTGTTGAGTACGGCTGCACCAAATTACTTCTATTTATTGATCACAAGTTTTTTTTCAGTTTTATGTTGTTTATTTAAACTAATTTCCTCCTCCAAGGTCTGTAATCTGCAGACAGAGGATTGGCTGTAGACCTCAGCTGTGTCTACTATATAGTTATAATCTGTGTCACACCTGGATCGTAGTGTTTGGACATTTTAAATCACAATATTGATCTAAAACGACTTAATAAAAGAAACAAGTGCGCTGTCTTCCATGTGGTGTCTGTGGTGTTTGTCTGTGGTATTTGTCTGTGATGTTTGTCTGTGGTGTTTGTCTGTGATGTTTGTCTGTGGTGTTTGTCTGTGGTGTTGTCTGTGGCGTCTGTCTGCGGTGTCTGTCTGCGTCTGTCTGCGTCTGTCTGCGGCGTCTGTCTGCGGCGTCTGTCTGCGGCGTCTGTCTGCGGCGTCTGTCTGCGTCTGTCTGCGGTGTCTGTCTGCGGCGTCTGTCTGCGGCGTCTGTCTGCGGCGTCTGTCTGTCTGTCTGCGGCGGCGTCTGTCTGCTGCGGCGTCTGTCGTGTCTGCGTCTGCTGTCTGCGGCGTCTGTCTGTCTGTCTGTGTCTGCGGCGTCTGTCTGTGGCGTCTGTCTGCTCTCTGCTCTGGCGTCTGTCTGTCTGTCTGCGTCTGTCTGCGTCTGTGTCTGTCTGTGTCTGTCTGTCTGCTGTCTCCTGTGGATAGCTGCACATCATCATTGAGTGTGTAAATGGTGAGAGAACTCAACAGTAACATGGTTAAAGCAGAATAGGTCTGCTTTAAAAAGAGACAGCTACATAATTGACCATTAGAAATGACTCGATTCAAAGGTTAAGTTCTGTGTGTGGTGTGTGAGACAGGTTCATCCATCTTCATATACAGCTTTTTTTTATTTTCAGCTTGAACAGAGCCCCAAGGTTACAGGCATTCCGCAGCAGCCATCTGCCACGTGATGTTAAGTGTGTCGTTGTAGTGTTAGTTGTGTCGAACATGCTGTCACTGCTCTGTGTCTGCTGTGTCTTCTTTTGTAGAGAGTGACTTTGAGCTCCTCCTCCACAAACCTGGTGTCTGAGATCTTCAGCTCAGAAGTCCACATGGTCCACCCTCCTTCACCGAAGAAACAGGAGAGCCCTCACTCACATAAAGGTAGCCTAATATGAATCATGCACAGATATTTACTCACAAATAAGTCAAGTGAGTGTAATATTTCACCTTTTTAAATGTGAAAAGGTTTAGATACTCATAGTAGTTTTAAATCTCATTTTAGACAAGAGAATATAACCTTCAGCACTAAATAGTAGTAGTTTCTTTAATACCATGTGTTGAAGAATTTCTTTGCCATTTAAAATTTATTATATATAGATATAGCTCTTATTTAAATATAGATATTATATTTAGTTTTAAATGGCAGCGGTCCTAATTTCTTATAATATAATAATAATACTACTGCTACTGCTACTGCTACTGCTACTACTACTACTACTACTACTACTACTACTACTACTAATATTATTATTATTATTATTATTATTATTATTATTAACAATAATAATATTAACAATAATATAAACCCATGGATAAATCAAGACCATTCTAAAACTCAACTCCTTTTCATGTGGTGGTTTTTCAGTATCCACACTTGTTTCAAATTTGTATCTAGTGTTAATTCTGATTTTGACAACCCTACTGACAACAAAATGAAAATAAATAAATAGGCAATATCAGTATTTACTATTTACTATACTATTTACTTCAGTTATTTTTTTACTGGCTTGTCAATATCCACATTTAACCAGAACCAAAATCAGGGCTAAAGTTGAGAAGATAACAACTTGTATATTTTAAGTCCAACACATTCCAGGCTTCATAAGGAAAATTATAGCTCTGTAGCGTGGAATATTGTAGTAATTATGAATAGGCCTATAGCGTCAGCCGTGTGTGCTATATTGTGCAGCCTTGTTTATTTATTGTTTATTTGAACAGGGAGAGATACACAAACATATAAACAACAATGCAGGTATCACAGTGTTCGCAGTAGAGGCTTTTTTGCAACACTAGTCTCCAGAAAATAAAACTGTTCATTAAAAAGCAATAGGATTGTTCAATGAAAAAGCAATAAATACAGGGACTGTTGCAGTAGCCAGGACTTAGTCTGGTTTACAGTCTGGTGATAGTCTTTATGTGAGTTCCAAAGTTTAGCTCCTGACTGAAAAGACTGTCTGAGTGAAAGAAGTCTTACAGAAAGAAACTCTGCATTCCCCCTGTGCTGTGACTCGTGTGGACGTTGGACAGTCTTCAGATGTATTATGTGTGCCAATGTGCTTCTGCGTATAGCCCACCTATGTCCCACCTCATGTGTTTGTGAAGGTCTGAGAAGTCACCCGGTCATCTTCAAGTTTGGCACAGAGAGGAGGGGGCTGACCGCGTACCTCCTGAGTGAAGAAGAGAGGAAGAAGAGGCACTACCCCGTCATAGGTAATGGTAACACTCACACTCCCTGTAATATTTGGCTCTTGTGTATGATTGCCTTGTGGTCCTTGGAGAAGGGTGTCCCATGTGTGTGACTGGAGTGCAGAGAGATGATGGCGCGTTCATATTGCCTCACAGTATGACCTTCTGTTTGTGTGTGTGCGCTGCAGGGTGTCCGGGCTGTGAGGACTTTGTGAGCACAGACTGTGACGCCGAGGTGACAGACAGCAGCCCCCTCTTCGGCCTCGACTGTGAGATGGTACTGTCCCTCTTCTTATATCACTAATACAGACTTCATGCTAGAATTAAGGCTTCGGCACGGTATCATATTCAGATTTCAAATTCTAGAATATGATGATATAAACAGACATATTTCCCTGTTGATTACATTGTACTTTCTTAATACATATCCAAAAGGTTAATTCACAAATGTTGAACGTGATCATTTCCATAGTGACATCATATCACAATAAAAATCTGTATTTTAAGAATATTCAGTTTAGCTGCCTCCATCTGTATTGTATTGTCTTACAGAATGCCGTGATGTCAATGAAACACAACGATACATTCTGTCTGGGACTGATTTCAATGATGTTAACGAAACATTGATGAGCGTCACAAATTCTGTTGTGGCAAAAGTAGACAAAGAGAATCAATTCTCTGGATTTGAACAGGAAGTTACTGGACCCACTTCTGTTATGAAGTCATTTTAGATCAATATTGTGGTTTACAAAGACTAAAATGTAAAATAAAAGGTCTATGTGTGTATTAATTTACTGTTAAATGTTAGAAAAAAACACAAGTTGTCTTCTGGAGGTTGAGAAAGAGAAATCTATGGCCTCTGCTGTATGTTTATGACTACAAGCTTAAGGTCTATTTTTTATTTAGAAAACAAGGGCCCACTAGTGTTACCACAATGCTAAAATTTCACACTTGATTTTGATACTAAGGAAAAGATCAGTGACCATTAAAAACACTCTTCTTTATAAAATGCAATTTTCAGAATGAAATAGTTTTCAGTAAGTTTAACAACCCTGGGGCCCATCGTAGTGTCCCTGTGAATGGGACACAGTGTGTGTAATGCTTGTGCTGGTGTCCTTACAGTGCCTCACAGACCAGGGGAGCGAGCTGACCCGTGTCTCTCTGGTGGACAGTTCTGGAACCTGTGTCCTGGACGAACTGGTCAAACCCCGGAACAAGATCCGCAACTACCTCACACAGTAAATACCCACACACACACACACACACACACACACACACACACACACACACATACACACATGCACGCAACGCACGCAAGCACACACACACTCACACACACACACACACACGTACATACAGTTCACACATATAAACACACACACACATACAGTACACACATATAAACACACACACGTACATACAGTACACACATATAAACACACACACACACATACAGTACACACATATAAACACACACACACACATACAGTACACACATATAAACACACACACGTACATACAGTACACACATATAAACACACACACACATATAGTACACACATATAAACACTCACACGTACATACAGTACACACATATAAACACACACGTACATACAGTACACACACACATACAGCACACGCACACACACACACACACCCACATACAGCACACACACACATACAGCACACACACACATACAGCACACACATACACAGCTGAATGATTTGGGAAACATATGAAATAGTGACTGATTTGATTTATATTTTAATAATTGATACTTTGCAGTGACATCACACGGGGGTGTTCTGCATGCTTGTGTATGGTGAAATGTTCAGCTGTTACTAAGGAGACACACTGTAGACAGCAAATGCTGTCAACAACATTTAAGATGAAACTAAATTTAAAAAAAAAAGATTTAAACAGCACATTTTCAGGAGCCTGTGATCGGTCTCAGCGTTCATGGTTTAGGAGTTTGATTTTCAACAAAAAGATTAGAGTGACTAACTGAAAAACTGCTGACTGTAATGTGATTTGAGAAGGGTCTTTCTAGTTAGATTGTGTTAAAATAAAGCTCAGATTAAAGTTTAATAGAGCAGTGCTTACAGTTAGTGCACTTAGCTGATTTTGTTTGTGTTTCTGTTTACTTGAAAAACACCAGAGCACATTTTCAGCTTTGGAGATGTAGACAGACTAATAATAAAGGGTTACATCTGTACGGTTATGAAACAAAACACAACTCCAGGTCTGTTTTTGTTGAGGTAACAGTATTATAGCATGACTTACAGCTCACAATTTAAATAAATGACATCCTTTGCTATTTGCTCATTGCGTCCATTCACACCGTCCATCGTGCGTCCAGTTGTCTTCAGTGTACTGTGGTTTGTCCAGGTTCTCTGGGGTCACACAGCAGATGTTGAAGCCAGTGGAGACCACCCTGAGTCAGGTCCAGAGCAGACTCAAGTCCCTCCTGCCCAGAGATGCTGTGCTGGTGGGACACTCGCTGGAGAATGACCTGCGGGCTCTCAAGGTCAGACCATAGTGCCGGATATACAGAAGAATATACCAGTGCAAAAAGCCACAAACTATAAACATTTAGAACTTAAAATAATAGACACTGTAGTTTATTAACCACATTCTGCATCGCCCATTTTTGTCTCTAAATGCTTCTAAACTGTGCTTTTTTTGTGGTGACACTTTTGGTTAAATGGGAATCCCATTCATGTCAGTGGTGAATTTGAGAAAAGTTTTGCAGATTAAAGACAACATAAAGTTGGTTAATATGTGTAAAATGTTCAGTGTTCATGACAACAAGTCACACTGCACTGATTCTCTGGAGCCTTTAAAACGGCTTTATTGTCCATGTTGAACTTATTTGCTGGATCTGCAGCCCCATACAAAATAATACAACCCCAGTGATGACGGCGGCGCCTACAGCAACTTCCAGAATAAGGTGGAATTCTTGGAACTGGGGTTAGGCTCCCGTCTACTGCCAGCGGAGGGAGTTACATCAGAAAAATCATTAAACAATTAGGGTTAGCAAATTGAAATTTAAAACTGCTTTAGTAAGTCTCCTAAGCCCCATTAAAACACACAAAGGTAAACAAACTACAACTGCAGGTATGTTTTGATGAGGGGACAATGTTACAACAAGTTTATAAGGTGAAAAAAGTAAATTTACATAAATTGTGTTCTTGTGTGTTTGTTGTCTGACAGATGGTCCACCCTCATGTTATCGACACATCGCTGCTCTACAGGAGACACTTGGGACAGAGGTTTAAGCTCAAGGTCCTGGCCGAGACTCTACTGCAGTGAGTACTGTGTGTGTAACACTGAGGTTTACTTCTACTACAGACTCTACTGCAGTGAGTACTGTGTGTGTAACACTGAGGTTTACTTCTACTACAGACTCTACTGCAGTGAGTACTGTGTGTGTAACACTGAGGTTTACTTCTACTACAGACTCTACTGCAGTGAGTACTGTGTGTGTAACACTGAGGTTTACTTCTACTACAGACTCTACTGCAGTGAGTACTGTGTGTGTAACACTGAGGTTTACTTCTACTACAGACTCTACTGCAGTGAGTACTGTGTGTGTAACACTGAGGTTTACTTCTACTACAGACTCTACTGCAGTGAGTACTGTGTGTGTAACACTGAGGTTTACTTCTACTACAGACTCCACTGCAGTGAGTACTGTGTGTGTAACACTGAGGTTTACTTCTACTACAGACTCTACTGCAGTGAGTACTGTGTGTGTGTAACACTGAGGTTTACTTCTACTACAGACTCCACTGCAGTGAGTACTGTGTGTGTAACACTGAGGTTTACTTCTACTACAGACTCTACTGCAGTGAGTACTGTGTGTGTAACACTGAGGTTTACTTCTACTACAGACTCCACTGCAGTGAGTACTGTGTGTGTAACACTGAGGTTTACTTCTACTACAGACTCTACTGCAGTGAGTACTGTGTGTGTAACACTGAGGTTTACTTCTACTACAGACTACTGCAGTGAGTACTGTGTGTGTAACACTGAGGTTTACTTCTACTACAGACTCTACTGCAGTGAGTACTGTGTGTGTAACACTGAGGTTTACTTCTACTACAGACTACTGCAGTGAGTACTGTGTGTGTAACACTGAGGTTTACGTCTACTACAGACTACTGCAGTGAGTACTGTGTGTTACACTGAGGTTTACTTCTACTACAGACTCTACTGCAGTGAGTACTGTGTGTGTAACACTGAGGTTTACTTCTACTACAGACTCCACTGCAGTGAGTACTGTGTGTGTAACACTGAGGTTTACTTCTACTACAGACTACTGCAGTGAGTACTGTGTGTGTAACACTGAGGTTTACGTCTACTACAGACTACTGCAGTGAGTACTGTGTGTGTAACACTGAGGTTTACGTCTACTACAGACTACTGCAGTGAGTACTGTGTGTTACACTGAGGTTTACTTCTACTACAGACTACTGCAGTGAGTACTGTGTGTTACACTGAGGTTTACTTCTACTACAGACTACTGCAGTGAGTACTGTGTGTTACACTGAGGTTTACTTCTACTACAGACTACTGCAGTGAGTACTGTGTGTTACACTGAGGTTTACTTCTACTACAGACTCTACTGCAGTGAGTACTGTGTGTTTAGTCAAATGTTTGGACACACTATGAATGTTTTTTCTTTATGTTTACTACTTTCATTACACTGAAGACATCAAATATATGATGTAAGATGTATGGAATTATGTAGCAAAGGAAAACGTTAAATAACTCTAAATATTCTTAAAGTATCCACCCTTTGCTAACCCTTGGTCTTCTCTCAGTGAACGTCATGATGAAGCCCCTGAAATGGTCTTCACTTCACAGCTGGGCCATGTCAGGGTTCATTCATGGCATGCCATGAGTGTGTAAATCAGTAATCAAAGCAAAGGGTAAAGGCTATTTTGAAGAATCTAAAACGTGTATAAGCTGTTTCATTATGGTCTGTCTGCCCCATCAAAGTCTTTTTCTAAAACCCCACTATAATGCATTTCCCAAACACATGTTCATGTTTACTGTGTGCACCTTGAATATTCACCTGTCCACACAAGTCCATATGAAACAGTAGTGTGAGCTCTGATGTGTTGGTGCTACACAGGAAGCAGATCCAGACTGAGGACAGGAGAGGTCACGACCCCTGTGAGGACGCCTCCGCTGCACTGGAGCTGGCACAGTACTTTATCTCCAAAGGACCCCTCAAGGTATCACCTGCCCCCACCTGCTCTCACCTGCTCTCACCTGCTCCCACCTGCTCACACCTGCTCACCTTAACTTTAGCCAGAAACACTAATCAGACGTGTTCAGTCATATCACTAAATGGGAGTTTGTCCTTGGGTTTCAGAATGAAGAAAAATGAGGACAGTTACCATTAGGGATGGGCATGGTTATTCGATTAATCGATAATTGATCATTAAGAATTTCATTGATTACGTTCATTTTAATCGACAAACCGAATGTAGGTTGCTGTGTGTATCGTGACCAAACAGGGTCAGTACATGTGTCTCTCTGCATCAGAAGGAGCGAGACACAAACAGTCGATCAGCCTGCAACGTGCCAAAGCACAAATGCGTATTTTACAATGATTTGTACAAGAAATTCCACGCTTTCCATTGCGGTCGGGACAAGTGTGAGTCCAAAAAAGCTCACCAGGTGAGAGAAGCACAATGTCGATGATGAGTCCCCACCTCCCTCCCCCCGTACGGTGTCCTGGTTTTAACAAACACAAATATGATCACACTAACCTGTATTCACCTGAGTCATGTCGCATATGTCGTAAAGTTGAATTTATTTATGCAGATTAATAGAGCAGATAGTAATAATAATGCTGACAATTTTAATATAAAAATGTTAATGATTAATCGATAATCGATCGTTAATTCTTCCGACGATCGATTAAGAAAATTTAATTGAATACCCATCCCTAGTTACCATAGTGATTAACAACAAAGCAACATATTACATCTTTTGAATGGGAAATAAAATCCCCAAAATATAATAACAGGAAGCATGAGTACAGGAAGCTGGGTTGTGTTTCTAAAATGAAGTGTGCTTGTGTGCAGGTCCAGTGCTGATATGGAACAAACCCAAACATTTAGGTTTAAAACAGTGACATTAAAAAGTGGATTGTGTTAAAACCCCGACTTATGTCTGTGTCAGATAGTGGAGGAGCACCAGGAGGAGCTGTGGGGAGTCCCACTGTCAGAACCAGAGAGCACTCCCCCCACAGCCGCGGAACACACCAGCTCACGGTAACACACAACATCACTTTTTACTTTTAGCTGGTAAACAAATGGAGTACCTCTTTAGTGTAACTAAACTCGTTCTGTTAAAAATGAAAAAATCCTGCAGAGGACACATTTCCTTACAAGCACAATAAAGGTTAACCTTACCCTCATGCATCTTTTTGGTTTCCCTTGAAAACAAGATGCTGCTCTGTATGAATACATTCACATCCTCAAACAGGACATTTCAAAACAATTATATATATCAAGAACATGACAGAAGAATTTTTGTGATACCTTCCACCAACCTGCTCAGGGTCTAGAGGTGTAAATGAGGATCCTGCTGTAACCAGCTTCTTTCCTATGACTTCTGTCTTGGTTAATATGTTGTTGAGCACTGCCCCTGTAAAAATAAAAAGACCATACCTGGATGATTAAAGTAGCATATGCGGAGAAACATACGGCATTAGTTTGAACCTAAGCATTTACTAATAAATGATATAAAGTTATAGGGAGTAACATGATATCTGAACATTTCAGGTTTGCAGAGGTGCTGCAGGCCTGTGGACGCTCTGTGGCCTTCTTTGGCAGGCGCTGGGACATCTGCCTGCACCTGTCCAAGCAGCTTTGGCTCAGTTCTGACAGACAGGTGCGAGTAAGCCTATGGAAAGAATGGAACTACACTTTTGTATTATTATTTTTATATAATATATGGTGATAGGGAGGATCTGTCTGAATAAGAGATTAGAGACTGTGCCATCATTAATATCGCTATAGAATATTACAAGTGTGTGGGTCTCAGATGCTATTTTCATGTGATGCATTGGTAAGTGGTCATCTTACTTTGTTTTTAAGCATTTTAGATCAAAATCCTGCTTCAGTCCAATTACAGCCTATTTTCCGTTACATAATGTAATATTTGCTACTATTTAATTCTCCCATGATGCTTTTGATTTGAAGATATATCAGGAAGAAATACTAAATGCTAAAACGTCACAGATCTTTGTGAATTGTTTTTTAATTATTACATGATGAAGTCCACACACCAGCCGTATTAAAAGCACAGTTGAGACGCTCTCGTGTGTGTTGATGTACTCTCCTGTGTCCAGGTGCTGCAGGCTTTCAGAGACCAGCCCAAGTGTCCAGCCTTCTCTGTGCTCCAGTTCTTCTCTTCACAGACAGGGGGCGCTCAGGCTGTACTAAAGCCACAGGTCAGAACTGATGGGGCCTTTTATAAACCACCTTTACAGTGACAGTTAGAAACACCGTAAAGCCAATATGTGCGTAAAATGTGATTTTTAGACTCCAAAATGTAATCTACTGGTCCATCTCAAAAATTTGAATATCATGAATTTTTTATTTTTATTTTTTTCAAAAAGTCAAACCTGTATATTATATACTCATGACATAGAATGCAGTCTTTAAGCCTTTATTTCTTGACACTTTGATGATTTTGGATTACAGATAATGAAACCCACAAATTCTGTGTCTCAGAAAGGTAGAACTGTGTGAAAAAGTTCAACTGTCTTTCTCTCAGGGACATGTGTGTGTTCTTCTGTCCCCAGGCCTGTCCTCCTCCTCTCAGGAACATGTGTGTGGTGTTTGTTGGGCCCCTCCCTCCTCACTCATCAGAAGAAGATGTGAGGCGTGTGTTGTGCTGCTGCGGACCCCTGCGCTCTGTCAGGATCATTCGTACTGCTCTCAGGGTATGTCAAAGATAAAAAAAAATAACGACCGCCAACCTTCTGATCGGTGGACAAACGCTCTTACCAGCTGCGCTACTGTCGTCCCATGTTCAGCGGTTACCATGGTGACCCAAAGCACACATAACAATCACTGTGTATATTATTTGTCATGTGTGTGTTCCAGGTACATGCAGAGGTGCACTTTGCTCTGCCTGAGGGGGCCCTGCTGGCTCTGTCCACTCTCAGCGGCCTCTCACTGCACGGACACTGTGTCAAGGTACTGACTGTACACTCTGCACACTGCACTAATGTGACTGTACACTCTGCACACTGCACTAATGTGACTGTACACTCTGCACACTGCACTAATGTGACTGTACACTCTGCACACTACACTAATGTGACTGTAGCATCTGCACACTACACTAATGTGACTGTAGCCTCTGCACACGGCACTAATGTGACTGTACACTCTGCACACTGCACTAATGTGACTGTACGCTCTGCACACTGCACTAATGTGACTGTACGCTCTGCACACTACACTAATGTGACTGTACACTCTGCACACTACACTAATGTGACTGTACACTCTGCACACTACACTAATGTGACTGTACACTCTGCACACTACACTAATGTGACTGTACGCTCTGCACACTACACTAATGTGACTGTACACTCTGCACACTACACTAATGTGACTGTACACTGCACACTACACTAACTGTGACTGTACACTCTGCACACTACACTAACTGTACACTACACTGTGACTGTACACTCTGCACACACTACACTAATGTGACTGTAGCACTGCACTGCACACTACACTACACTGTGACTGTACACTCTGCACACTACACTCTGCACACTACACTAATGTGACTGTACACTCTGCACACTACACTAATGTGACTGTACACTCTGCACACTACACTAATGTGACTGTACACTCTGCACACTACTAATGTGACTGTACACTGTGACTGTACACTCTGCACTCTGCACACTACATGTGACTACATTGCTGTACTACACTAATGTGACTGTAGCCTCTGCACACGACACTAATGTGACTGTAGCCTCTGCACACTGCACTAATGTGACTGTACACTCTGCACACTGCACTAATGCACAATGTACTCTGCACACTCTGCACTAATGTGACTGCTCTGCACATGCACACTCTGCACACTGCACTAATGTGACTGTACGCTCTGCACACTGCACTAATGTAAAGCAAATTCTCTAACAGTAACAGCATCAGTGACATCTCAAACGTCTGGCATGTTCTGATGAGGGAACAACGTTATAAAAGCTCCTTTTTGCATATTTCCGCCTCATTAATTAGGCTGATAATCTCAAAGACAAACTAAAATATTTGGCTTTATTATTAGATGTTTTTTAAACTCGCAGTGAAAAAGTACTGCTTTTGCTCATTTGGGCCAATTCAGTAGGAAGCCTAGCCAAGACAAAAGGTCCTGAGTTTTTAACATTTAGCCCTGAGGCCATAGTCTGGACATGGCTGCTAAAAACGATGAAGGCATCATTTCTGGATGTGATTAGTTGTCACCATCTATAATGTTTTGTGCTGGTAGGTGCAGAGACCTGTCAGTGAGACCACCCTGGATGTGGACGTGACTCTGGAGGCTCTTCAGTCTGACCCTGTCACCCAACGACTGCTCTATGTGACCAGCATCTGCCCGCACCTCACACCGCTCCTCCAGGCCTCTACACACACGAGCGGGCACACAGGGGAGGACGACCGCCGAGACGACCCCAGAGACAACCGCCAAGACATCCACAGAGACTCAGACAGGAGCAGCCCAGTCCCGATAAACGGGCAGAGGGGACTCAGAGAAGACGCTCTCCTGGACACATTCGGTCGCTTTGGTCCAGTGATCAGGATAATCACACCCCCACACACAGGAGGAGCCACACATGCTTATATCGGTGAGCGTTCATAATAGGTTTCACAATTCTAGAAATACTCACTTTTGATATGAAAAAGCTTGATATGGCACCAGTTTTGACTTCACAACAAAAATCTACACTTTTAATTAAAGAGAGGATATAATACAGCAGTTTAGAGCTTTTGCCCTCATCAGAAACATGCCCGAGGAGGCTTTACATGTCATCCATTCTCTCCCTTTTTGAACCCAGCTTATGATTGCCCCACCCACAAGCTTATATCAGCCATGTCTCCCTCATCCTTAGTGGGATGCACGCTTGTGTGTCGTCACTCTGAAGGGGGAGTGAAAGGGAGGGGACTGTCAAAAACACAAATGAATCTTCTTAAACATGTTAATACATTGTTTTGTGGCAAATATATAATTTTGAAAAGGCAACACGGTAATGTGCATATGTTGACAGTTGACAGTAGGTCCGCAAATGAGGGCAGCTACATGATGAAGTTCTCAGATGATACTGCCCTCCTCTCTCTCCTGCAGGGAGCAACTTCAGACCACGGCCGAGCTCTACCTGCTTTCATTGAATGGTGTGATAACAATTACCTGGATCTAAATGTAGCTAAAACCAAAGAAATGGTTGTGGACTCCCGGAAAAAAGTCCACAGCCCAACAGCCAACTCCATCCATGGGGAAGCAGTAGAAATGGTCGACTCTTATAAGTGCTTGGGAACTGTGTTTGATTCCTCTCTAAGGTTTGATAAGAACACTGAGCAAATCATCAAACGAGGACAGCAGCGGGTTCACTTGTTGTGGAAGCTCAGCTCTTTTAATGTATCATCTAACATCTTATAAAATTTTTAGAATTCTTTTATCGAAAGTTTGCTGACCTATTCTTTTATTTGTTGGTTTTATGGATAATCTGTGAAGGACAAGAACAGTCTGAACCAGATAGTAAAAGTGTGCAGCAAAATCAGTGGTGTTCAGATGGAGGATTTGGCCTCTGTGTGGAAGACACTGGGTGCTCCAAAAGTCCGTACTGTAACCATGTTCTGCACTCACAGTTAATGAAAATGCCCTCTGGGAGGCACTCTGTCACCCCACAGCAAAAGACTAACGCTATGTAAAATCTTTTATTCCTTTTGCCATAAGGATTTTAAATGAAAAGTGAATTTGCTATTGTGTCCCTGATGCACTGTGGTTTGAACATACGGTGTCTGTTTTTCTTTTTCTTTTATTATTTATAGATTGTGCACGACCAGAGGTGTGCGAACTGAATTGCCTTTATTAAAATTTAAATGTATAAAGTTGTTGATTGATTGATTGATTGGTTATGTGTGAGAAGTGAAGACCTCATAGAAGTAAAATACCCCCTCTTTAATCACACGTACTTGTCTTTTCTAGAGTTTGTGAGTGTGGACAGCAGACAGGCCGCCCTCAGCGCCTCCCAGGAACTCCTTCAACTCAACTACCTGCTGTGCCCCGCCCTCATGCCCCTGCACCTGTCTGCACCTGTCAGCAGGGACACTGTGGACAGGGCAAGGGACAGGCCAGAGGACGCACAGGGGGACATGGTGGACCAGGAGAGGACCAACGGTGCACTTACATCTATAGTATGTTTATGACGTTTATTTTATTCTTCCAAAAATAGTTCTACAGTAAGAGTACTTCAAAATAATATTACTCAAGTACAAATGCAAAGTAGTGGTCAAAGCATAAATAATGCATAAAATCTGTTTCTTTTTTTTACAAGTGCAGACACAAAAATGAGACAAACTAAATCACATCTGAAGGAGCGCTGTAAGAAAAACAAATGTTCAATTCATTTCATTTCAACATACAGCTCTTATACTAAAGCAAGAGTACTCACACTGTACAATATATTACTCAAGTAGGAGCAGTGTTGGGGAGTAACAGATTACATGTACCGGAGTTACGTAATCAGAGTACAAATTATGAGTAACTGTATTCAGTTACAGTTATTGTTTCAGTGAGTGGTAAATGGATTACACAGCAGTATTTTCCTGTTTTCACATTTTGGGCTATATCCATCCATCCATCCATTTTCTTCCGCTTATCCAAGGTCGGGTCGCGGGGGCAACAGTCTGAGGAGGGCCTCCCAGACTTCCCTCTCCACACACACGTCCTCCAGCTCTTCCAGGGGGATCCCGAGACGTTCCCAGGCCAGCCGAGAGACATAGTCCCTCCAGCGTGTCCTGGGTCTTCCCTGGGGCCTCCTCCCAGTGGGACATGCCCAGAACACCTCCCGAGGGAGGAGCCCAGGAGGCATCCGGAACAGATGCCTGAGCCACCTCAACTGGCTCCTCTCAATGTGGAGGAGCAGCGGCTCTACTCCGAGCTCCTCCCGTGTGACTGAGCTCCTCACCCTATCTCTAAGGGAGCGCCCAGCCACCCTGCGGAGGAAACTCATTTCGACCGCTTGTATCCGCGATCTTGTCCTTTCGGTCATTACCCAGAGCTCATGACCATAGGTGAAGGTAGGAACGTAGATTGACCGGTAAATCGAGAGCTTCACCTTTCGACTCAGCTCCTCTTCACCACAACGGTCCGATACAGCAACCGCATCACTGCCGAAGCTGCACCGATCCGCCTGTCAATCTCACGTTCCGTCCTTCCCTCACTCGTGAACAAGACCCCGAGATACTTGAACTCCTCCACTTGAGGCAAGGACTCCCCACCCACCCGGAGAGGGCAAGCCACCTTTTTACGGTTGAGAACCATGGCCTCGGATTTGGAGGAGCTGATCTTCATCCCAGCAGCTTCACACTCGGCTGCAAACCGCCCCAGTGCACATTGCAGGTCCTGGTTCGATGAAGCCATCAGGACAACATCGTCCGCAAACAGCAGAGATGAGATCCTGTGGTCCCCAAACCGGACCCCCTCCAGCCCCTGACTGCACCTAGAAATTCTGTCCATAAATACAATGAACAGAACCGGTGACAAAGGGCAGCCCTGGCGGAGTCCAACATGCACCGGGAACAGGTCTGACTTACTGCCGGCAATGCAAACACAGCTCCGGTCATACAGGGACCGGACAGCCCTTAGCAAAGGGCCCCGGACCCTATACTCCCAGAGCACCCCCCACAGGACACCACGAGGGACACGGTCGAATGCCTTCTCCAAGTCCACAAAACACATGTGGACTGGTTGGGCAAACTCCCATGAACCCTCGAGCGCCTGATGGAGAGTGTAGAGCTGGTCCAGTGTTCCACGACCAGGACGAAAACCACACTGCTCCTCCTGAATCCGAGGTTCGACTATCGGCTGGATTCTCCTCTCCAGTCCCTGGCATAGACCTTACCGGGAAGGCTGAGGAGTGTGATTCCCCTGTAATTGGAACACACCCTCCGGTCCCCCTTCTTATACAGAGGGACCACCACCCCAGTTTGCCAGTCCAGAGGTACTGTTCCCGACCGCCACGCGATGTTGAAGAGGCGTGTCAGCCAAGACAGCCCCACATCATCCAGAGACTTAAGGTACTCAGGACGGATCTCATCCAACCCCGGAGCCTTTCCACCAAGGAGTTTGCCAACCACCTCGGTGACTTCAGCCAGGGTGATGGATGAGTCCGCCTCTGAGTCTCCAGCCTCTGCTTCCTCCTCAGAAGACGTGACGGTGGGATTGAGGAGATCCTCAAAGTATTCCTTCCACCGCCCGACAACATCCCCAGCCAAGGTCAACAGCTCTCCTCCCGCACTGTAAACAGTGTTGGTGAAGAACTGCTTCCCCCTCCTGAGGCGCCGGACGGTTTGCCAGAATCTCTTTGAGGCCGTCCGATAGTCCTCCTCCATGGCCTCCCCGAACTCCTCCCAGCTCCGAGTTTTTGCCTCTGCGACCACACGGGCTGCAGCACGCTTGGCCCGCCGGTACCTGTCAGCTGCTTCAGGAGTCCCCCGAGCCAGCAAGGCCCGATAGGACTCCTTCTTCAGCTTGACGGCATCCCTTACTTCCGGTGTCCACCACCGGGTTCGGGAATTGCCGCCGCGACAGGCACCACAGACCTTACGCCCACAGCTACGAGCGGCCGCATTGACAATAGACGCCGAGAACAGAGACCACTCGGACTCCATATCTCCAGCCTCCCCCGGAATCTGGGAGAAGTCCTCCCGGAGGTGCGAGTTGAAGGTCCCCCTGACAGAGGGCTCCGCCAGACGTTCCCAACAGACCCTCACTACACGCTTGGGCCTGCCAGGTCTTTCCGGCTTCCTCCTCCGCCAGCGAACCCAACTCACAACCAGGTGGTGATCAGTTGACAGCTCAGCCCCTCTCTTCACCCGAGTGTCCAAGACACGCGGCCGGAGATCAGATGACACGACTACAAAGTCGATCATCGACCTCCGGCCTAGGGTGTCCTGGTGCCACGTGCACTTATGGACACCCTTGTGCTCGAACATGGTGTTTGTTATGGACAAACCGTGACTAGCACAGAAGTCCAATAACAAAACACCGCTCGGGTTCAGATCGGGGAGGCCGTTCCTCCCGATCACCCCTCTCCAAGTGTCACTGTCGTTGCCCACGTGGGCGTTGAAGTCCCCCAGTAGAACAACGGAGTCCCCGGTCGGTGCACTGTCCAGTACCCCTCCCACGGACTCCAAGAAGGCCAGGTACTCTACACTGCTGTTCAGCCCGTAGGCCGACACCACAGTGAGAGACCTGTCCCCGACCCGAAGGCGCAGGGACACGACCCTCTCGTTCACCGGGGTGAACTCCAACACACAGCGGCTGAGCTGTGGGGCTATAAGCAAGCCCACACCAGCCCGCCGCCGCTCCCCGTGGGCAACGCCAGAGAAATGGAGGGTCCAACCCCCTTCAAGGAGTTGGGTACCAGAGCCCAAGCTGTGCGTAGAAGTGAGCCTCTCAACCTCCCACACAAGCTCAGGCTCCTTCCCCCCCAGCGAGGTGACATTCCATGTCGCCACAGCCAGATGCTGTGTGTGTGGACCAGGCCGTCGGGACACCTGTTCCCGACCGCCGCCCAGTCCTCTATGCACCCGACCCCTATGAACCCCTCTGCGGGTGGTGAGCCCACAGGAGGGTGGACCCACGTCGTCCTTTCGGGCTGAGCCCGGCCGGGCCCCGTGGGTAAAGGCCCGGCCACCAGGCGCTCGCATTCGAGCCCCAACCCCAGGCCTGGCTCCAGGGTGGGGCCCCGGCTGCGCCATACCGGGCGATGTAACGGTCCTCGATATTAAACTGTTCATGTGGGTTTTATGAACTGCTCTTAGTCTGCCCCGTCACCTAGGACCTGTTTGCCATGGGAGACCCTACCAGGGGCAACATAGCTCCTAGGATCATTCGGGTACGCAAACTCCCCCACCACGGTAAGGTGGCAGTTCGGGGGGGAGAGGGCTATATCCCTTTTTTTTTTCCGGTAATTCCACTCATTGCTTGACACCAAACCAGGTCTAAACCAGGACTAAAACCAGGTCCAAACCAGGTCTAAAAAAGGTCTAAACCAGGACTAAAACCAGGTCCAAACCAGGTCCAAACCAGGTGTAAACCAGGTCTAAAACCAGGTCTAAAACCAGGTCTAAAACCAGGTCTAAACCAGGACTAAACCAGGTCTAAAACCAGGTCTAAACTAGGTCTAAACAAAGACTAAACCGGGACTAAAACCAGGTCTAAACCATGACTAAAACCAGGTCTAAACCAGGTCTAAACCAGGTCTAAACTGGGACTAAACTAGGACTAAACCGGGACTATAACCAGGTCTAAACCAGGACTGAACCAGGATTTAACAGGACTAAATCATGCTGCTTGGACCGTGTCTTCTCTTCTATCAATAATATTTTTAGTAAAGTCTGAGTTTTCATTGTCTTTTATCAGACAAAACATCTTATGTGAAGATTTCCTCATCTTTGCTTCTCTACATCAAATCAAGTAATCCAAAGTATTCAGATTACATTACTCACTTTAAGTAATTTAATGGATTACGTTACAAACTACATTTCGGGGCATGTAATCTGTAATCTGTAGGGGAATACATTTTAAAAGTCACCTTCCCAACACTGATAAGGAGTAAGTTCAAATCATTTCATTTCAACATACAGATTTTCTACTAAAGTAAGAGTACTCACACTGTACAATATATTACTCAAGTAGGAGTAAAAGTATAGAGTTTGAAAGCTACTCTGAGAAGTACAAATTTACTAAAGTGTTACTTAAGACCGGGAGTAAATGTGCACTACCCATTTTTCAAAATATCTCTACCCCTCAATCCCTACGCCCTCTTCATTCTACTGACCCGTCCTGTACTCTTCAGCTGACACAGCGCCCTCTTGTGTGTGTCCTCAGGCGGAGGCTGAATGGTTGAGGAAACTGGACCGGCGCCTGGGTAAACTGTTCCGGTGTCTGCCAGAGGGGGCGCTGTCTGTGGTGGTCCTGAGGTGAGTGCTTGGCCACACACTGGGAACGAATAAATGAATAAATAAATGGATTACACGGCAGTATTTTCCTGTTTTTACATTTTGGGCTATATCCTTTTTCTTTCTTCCGTAATTCCACTTATTGCTGGACACTAAACCAGGTCTACAACCAGGTCTAAAACCAGGTCTACAACCAAGTCTAAACCAGGTCTACAACCAGGTCTAAACCAGGACTAAAACCAGGTCTAAACCAGGTCTAAACCAGGTCTAAACCAGATCTAAACCAGGTCTAAAACAGGTCTAAAACCAGGTCTAAACCAGGACTACAACAGGACTGAAACAGGATTTAACAGGACTAAATCATGCTGCATGGACCGTGTTTCCTCCTCCTCTATCAATAAAGTCTGGGCTTTTCATTTTCTTTTAACAGACAAAACATCTTATGGGAAGATTTTCCTCGTCTTTGCTTCTCTACAGCAAAATAAAGTAATCCAAAGTATTCAGATTACGTTACTCACATAAATAATTTAATGGATTACGTTACAAACTACATTTTGGGGTATGTAATCTGTAATCTGTAGGGGAATACATTTTAAAAGTAAACTTCCCAACACTGCTCTTCCAACTGTTGTGTTTCCTTTAAAATCCAGTGAGGTTTATTTGTGAAAAAAGTTTGAAAATAGACCATTTAATGACAGTGCGTTTTATAATCCAGAGCCCCTAATAGTCCGGAAAATACAGTACTTTTACTTCTGTACACGACCAGTCAAAGGTTTGGACCCACCTCTTCGTTTATGTTTCTTCTTATCGTCCTATCAAAACTATGAATGACACATAGGGACGGTAGTAAACATAAAATAAACTCAGAATAACTCCAAACTTGTTTCAGATTTAAAAAAAAACAACAAACACAATTGCCACTCTTTGCTTTAGAAGACCAAGGATTTGCAGCGCTGTCAACAAAGCAAACAGTGGATACTGTGAGGATTTGTATATAAAAGTATGAATGATATTTAGCGTGATTTAACTTTCTTTTCTTTACTACATAATTCCATATCATGCACCATATAGTCGAAGTTTCACATATGTATATAAAATGTAGAAAGAAGTAAACAAGCATTGAATGAGAAGGTGTGTCCAAACCTCTGACTGGTGGTGTACTTTTACTTGTGTACTTTTAGTTGTGTACTTCTACTTGTGTACTGTGTCTTCTCTTTTAGGGGGAACCAAAACGCACCAGGACTGTGCTTTGTGGAGATCAAGAAAACCTCCTGAGAAGATGGAACAGTAACAGCGTTGGATCATCTTGACTCACTTTTAGAAGACTCTGGGCTTGACGACGGGACCACGTGGGGCTTTTCTGAGTGGAGTTTGCATGTTCTCTCTGTGGTTGCTCTGCCACGTCGAAGTTTACACACAACAAGAAGGTCCCAGGGATTGTTGGGCACTTTGGTGTTGGACTGCTCCTGACAGGTTTAGAGACATTGAGGGGTGGGTCAGATGCAGAGGACACATTTCAGGCAAGATGGTTCATTAATTAAAGGTCCTGTATTACCATATTTTTCGGACTATAAGTCGCTCCGGAGTAGAAAGGAAAAGAAACTGAAACAGAATCCATTTAATGTTGAAAGTCAAGTTGTAGTAAAAACAATAGAAGAGAGAAGAACAGACTGTTAACGTCACATATGAACAGTTCTTCAGATAAACTATAACATAAACAACAGAACAGAACAAGTTTAACAAACTCTCCATCTCACTCCAAATCACTAAATCCATTCAATTCTTCATCCTCGGTGTCACTTCTGAACAACTCGGCCTCGACCTCCGGAGGTAAACAGAGCGCCGCAAACTCTTCTGTGTCGCTGTCGTCAGACTCAGCATCAGTTCCAGTTAGAATTATTCGGGTCTTTCTGAATCCCGACAGGATGGTTTCAGTGTCACTGAAGTCCAGACTTTGTCCATCCATCCAGTGACTTCAGGAAAGTTTCATGGTGCATCCTCCTGGTGTCACAAGTTTCTCTCTCACTCCAAACTTTCTTTCTGCTGCTCGATTATCGTTTTCAGCTGCAGATTTCACGACTTGCAGTTTGTAATCTGCAAAATCTGATTTAGTTTTTGGGGGCATTTGTGTTCAGTCTTGTCAGTGTCTTTATAAGTTTGTTTAAATGTTAAATAGTTCAGTGGTGCAGAAGTAACTGACATGATACAGACAGAACAGAGGCTCTTTCTGCAGGAGACATGTGCAGTAGAGCCAAGTGACGGCTGTCATTGTGAGAATTTTAATATAGAAGTCGCACCAGAGTGTAAGTCACAGGAAACACCCAAACTATGAAAAAAAAGTTAAAGTCTGAAAAATATGGTACATAAAATTGACTCTTGTGGGCTTTAAGCCATGTTATAATGTTGTTACTTCATCAGAAACAGACCTGGAGTTATGTTTTCTTTCTGTCACACGTTTGAGTAACTCTTATTATTATATTAGTCTGTCTACATCTCCAAAGCTCAAAATGTTCTGTTCTACCGTGATGTCATGAAGCTGTAGTTTTTTATATACATACAACCCACAGTGTTCCTGTGGGTTAACTTTTGGTGGTGGTGGTTGTTGGTCCTCATGTCTGTTTTACCCAGGCTGGTGCCACTTAGTGCCTTCACTCAATTTTCATTTCTCTCCAGCGACTAGGTCAGGAATCAAGAATACGGTTCAGAGTATAAACCGTGTGAAACCTGCTGATGAATCAGGCTAGTGGAGTTTAATAAACAGGCCAAAAACTTGACTCTGTGTATGAGAGAGAGAGAGAGAGAGAAAACAACTGTGCAAAAACTGTTTATATATTAAACCTCAGAAATAAATGTGTGTTATATTTATATCAATTAGTATTTAGTTCACAACTTAGCCTTTCACTTTAATGTATCTACTGTACAATACCACCTCCTTGGTTGGTGTGTGTGTGTGTGTTATGTGTGTGTGTTGCTATCATAGACTCAAAATCAACCTCCCTTCAGCTCCCTATTTTTTGATGCAGGGCCTATCTATGCTGGGGTGAAAGGGATAAATGTATTACTCATAATTATGATTATGATTATTAAAAAATAAAGAAATGCAGACTCAAGACTCAAGACTAAGTCATTTATATTTGGAATCTGTTTTAACCCCAGAGGAGTACGCTTCCACATTTAATTTGAGGATAGCAAAAGTTAAAGGGTTAAACATAAAACTTTCACCTTTAATTCAGTAGAGACTGGTAGTTCCAGGTCTGAAATCATCCACTTGATTCTAGTGAAGGTGTGTGGAGTTTAAAAACACAGTGGAGCATTACCACATGACATCACAAGGTGGAACAGAGTGTTTTGAGTTTGAAGAACTGAGGCGTCTGAATGAGGTGACTGTGATGTATGAGCCACTAAATAACTGTATTGAGCCCCACTGTTGGATGGGAATATTGAAAATATCATGAAAACACAAAATTCCTGCTTTTTAATCATGACAGTATTTAAAATTTGCTTAAAACTTTTTTACCAAATGATGTATTTCTGTAAGTCCATTGTTCTGGGTCCAGTTTGAGTGGGTTGTAGTGAAGCAGAGTCACACACAGACGGCCCTCAGACTGGCTTTTGATTCTCATTTGGTTTGGGTCACTAGTACTGATGTGGCCTCACTGCCTCCTCCTCATCACCCAAACATTCACGAGTCACAACCAAAAGTCAGATCTTCCAAGCATCATGAAAACAGCTCTAGAATGTGGCATCAGTATTAGTATTACCATTTTAAATGAGCTTGGTCCTTACTTTGTGGCCACAAAGCCTGATCCCGTCAGATGTCTGAAGCTCAGCAGGGTCAGGCCCGGTCAGGACTTGGATGGAGACACTGGGAAAATCAGAAGCCACAGGGGGGCGCCAGTGGCAAAAACTGTCATTGTGTCCTTAGGCAAGACACTTCACTCACATTGCCTAGTATGAAAGTGGTGAGTGAGTGAGTGATGGTGGTGGTTAGAGGGACCGATGGCGCCGATGGGCAGCCGCACTTCTGTCAGTCTGTCCTGTGGCTACAACAGTACTCAGTGTTGGGAAGGTGATTTTTCAAATGTATTCCCCAACAGATTACAGACCCCAAAATATAGTTTGTAACGAAATCCATGAAATTACTTAAAGTGAGTAATGTAATCTGAATACTTTGGATTACTTGATTTGCTGTAGAGAAGAAAAGACGAGGAAATCTTCACATAAGAAGTTTTGTCTGATAAAAGAAAATAAAAAGCCCAGACTTTACTGAACCAAATTAAAAATATTATTGATGGAAGAAGAGGAGACACGTCCACCCAGCATGATTTAGTCCTGTTAAATCCTGTTTTAGACCTGATTTAATCCTGGTTTAGTCCTGGTTTAGACCTGGTTTAGTCTTGGTTTAGTCCTGGTTTAGACCTGGTTTAGTCCTGGTTTAGACCTGGTTTAGTCTTGGTTTAGTCCTGGTTTAGTCCTGGTTTAGACCTGGTTTAGTCCTGGTTTAGACCTGGTTTAGTCTTGGTTTAGTCCTGGTTTAGTCTTGGTTTAGTCCTGGTTTAGACCTGGTTTAGACCTGGTTTAGTCCTGGTTTAGTCCTGGTTTAGATCTAGTTTAGACCTGGTTTAGTGTCCGGCAATGAGTGGAATTACGTAAAAAAAAAAAAAAAAAAAATTGCCCAAAATGTAAAAACAGGAAAATACCGCCATGTAATCCATTTATTCAACAAAGTAACTGTAATCCAATTACCACTCACTGAAACAGTAACTGTAACTGAATACAGTTACTGGTTTAGACTTGTTTTAGACCTGATTTAGACCTGGTTTAGACCTGATTTATTCCTGATTAAGACCTGATTTAGACCTGATTTAGTCCTGGTTTAGACCTGATTTAGACCTGGTTTAGACCTGATTTAGTCCTGGTTTAGACCTGATTTAGACCTGGTTTAGACCTGATTTAGATGTGATTTAGTCCTGGTTTAGACTTGATTAAGACCTATTTTAGACCTGGTTTAGACCTGATTTAGTCCTGGTTTAGACCTGGTTTAGACCTGGTTTAGTCCTGGTTTAGACCTGATTTAGACGTGATTTAGTCCTGGTTTAGAAGTGTTTTAGACCTGATTTAGTCCTGGTTTAGACTTGTTTAAGACCTGTTTTAGTCCTGGTTTAGACCTGTTCAAGACCTGATTTAGTCCTGGTTTAGACCTGATTTAGACGTGATTTAGTCCTGGTTTAGACTTGTTTAAGACCTATTTTAGACCTGGTTTAGTCCTGGTTTTGACCTGGTTTAGTCCTGGTTTAGACCTGATTTAGACGTGATTTAGTCCTGGTTTAGAAGTGTTTTAGACCTGGTTTAGACCTGGATTTAGACCTGATTTAGTCCTGGTTTAGACCTGATTTAGACTTGTTTAAGACCTGTTTTAGTCCTGGTTTAGACCTGTTTTAGACCTGATTTATTCCTGATTAAGACCTGATTTAGACCAGATTTAGTCCTGATTGAGCCCTGGTTTAGACCTGTTCAAGACCTGATTTAGTCCTGGTTTAGACCTGGTTTAGACCTGATTTAGACGTGACTTTAGTACTGTACTTTAGACTTGTTTAAGACGTATTTTAGACCTGGTTTAGACCTGGTTTACTCCTGGTTTTGACCTGGTTTAGTCCTGGTTTAGACCTGATTTAGACGTGATTTAGTCCTGGTTTAGAAGTGTTTTAGACCTGGTTTAGACCTGGTTTAGACCTGATTTAGTCCTGGTTTAGACCTGGTTTAGACCTGATTTAGTCCTGGTTTAGACCTGATTTAGACCTGATTTAGTCCTGGTTTAGACCTGATTTAGACCTGGTTTAGACTTGTTTTAGACCTGATTTAGACCTGGTTTAGACCTGGTTTAGACCTGATTTAGTCCTGGTTTAGACTTGTTTTAGACCTGATTTAGACCTGGTTTAGACCTGGTTTAGACCTGATTTAGTCCTGGTTTTAGTCCTGGTTTAGTCTTGGTTTTTAGTTTAATCCTGGTTTAGACCTGGTTTAGTCCTGGTTTACTCCTGGTTTAGATCTAGTTTAGACCTGGTTTAGTGTCCGGCAATGAGTGGAATTACGTAAAAAAATAAAATAAAATTGCCCAAAATGTAAAAACAGGAAAATACCGCCATGTAATCCATTTATTCAACAAAGTAACTGTAATCCAATTACCACTCACTGAAACAGTAACTGTAACTGAATACAGTTACTGGTGTTAGACTGTTTAGACCATTTTAGACCTGATTTAGACCTGATTACCTGATTTACCTGATTTAGAGACCTGATTTAGATTTTAGACCTGATTTAGACCTGGTTTAGACCTGATTTTAGACCTGGTTTTTTAGACCTGATTTAGGTTTTAGACCTGATTTAGACGTGATTTTAGACCTGGTTTAGACTTGTTTTTTTAAGACCTGTTTTAGACCTGGTTTAGTCCTGGTTGACCCTGGTTATAGACCTGGTTTAAGACCTGATTTAGACCTGATTTAGACCTTTAGACTGTTTAAGACCTGATTTTAGTCCTGAGACGTTTTAGACCTGATTTAGACCTGTTTAGACTGACCTTTACCTGACCTTTTAGATTTTTTAGTGAGACCTGATTGTCTGGTTCTAGACTTGTTTAGACCTGATTTTAGACCTGTTTAGACCTGGTTTTAGTCCTGGTTTAGACCTGTTTTAACGTGATTTTAGTCCTGGTTTAGACCTGTTTTAGACCTGGTTTTAGACCTGTTTAGACCTGGTTTAGTCCTGGTTTAGACCTGATTTAGACGTGATTTAGTCCTGGTTTAGACTGGTTTAGACCTATTTAGTTCCTTTTAGACCTATTTTAGACCTTGAGTTTAGTCCTGGTTTAGACCTGTTTTATGACCTGATTTAGACCTGTTAGACCTGATTTAGTCCTGGTTTAGACCTGATTTAGAAACGTGATTTTAGAGTCTGGTTTAGACTTGTTTAAGAACCTATTTTAGACCTGGTTTAGATCTTTTTAGTGGGTTAGTCCTGGTTTGACCTGGTTTAGTCCTGGTTTTAGACCTGATTTAGACGTGATTTAGTCCTGGTTTAGACCTGATTTAGACCTGATTTGTCCTAGACTTGTTTAAGAGACCTGTTTTAGTCCTGGTTAGACTTGTTTAGACCTGATTTAGACCTGGTTTAGACCTGTTAAACCTGATTTATTCCTGGAAGACCTTTTATCCTGTTTAGACCTGAATTTAGACCTGATTGGTTTAGACTTGTTTTAACCTGATTTAGACCTGGTTTAGACCTGATTTAGTCCTGGTTTAGACTTGTTTTTAGACCTGGTTTAGACCTGGTTTAGACCTTGATTTTAGACCCTGGTTAGACCTGATTTAGATTTGAGACCTGATTTAGACCTGATTTAGTCCTGGTTTAGACCTGGTTTTAGACCTGATTTAGACCTGATTTAGACCTGATTTTCCTGGTTTAGACCTGATTTAGACCTGTTTAGACCTGATTTAGAAGACCTTGTTTAGACCTTTTAGACCTTTTTTAGACCTGATTTAGACCTGATTGAGCCCTGTTTTAGACCTGTTCCAGACCTGATTTAGTCCTGGTTTAGACCTGATTTAGACGTGATTTAGTCCTGGTTTAGACTTGTTTAAACCTATTTTAGAACCTGTTTAGACCTGTTTAGTGCTGTTTTTAGTCCTGGTTTAGACCTGGTTTAGACGTGATTTCCTGTTTAGACCTGATTTAGACCTGATTTAGTCCTGGTTTAGACTTGTTTAAGACCTGTTTTAGTCCTGGTTTAGACTTGTTTTAGACCTGATTTATTCCT